TTATATTATCTGTATATTGTCTTATTTGTTTACCACCCTAAGCCAAGTCTCCTTCCATCACCATTTATCCCCCATTTACCCTCTCCTACCTCCCTTCACCCCGTTTTTCATTTCCCTCTGGTAATCACCATACTGTTGTCTGTGTTTATGAGTTTGTTTTTTGCTTAATCCCCTCACCCTTTTTACCAAGCCCTCTACAAGTCTTTTAAAATAAAAAAAATTCATTATTTCTTCTTCCTTGTCCAGAAATGGTATAGGTGAGAGCAGTAAAAAGACTGGAGAAAAAAAACAGGCAGACAAAACTAAATGTGCTGTTTTAGCAATAAGCAGTAAGATGCAGAACACTTAGTATGTCATGTGTTAGCTGACTGTTTGCCCTTGACACCAGTTACTTCCTTCTAAGGCTGGGAACTAAATTTTCCAAAATCCCCTTCTTTGTGAGGTTCTGGGTTAAAGTTTGCCGATGAGTAAAGCTTTCCGGAGAGTTAGAAGATGGAAAGAAGAAGAAGTCATTATTATTATTATTTTAGAGGTATTTATAGCTACATACTTGGAAAGATAGATGAAGCATTCACAGAGGCTTTTCAGCAAATTTTGGATAATGACCCACATTGCCTGAGACTTGGTGGTATTTTTGGAAGATTTGCAAGTAGTGTAGTAGCTCCAGAAGAGCTTCTGAAAAGCACTGACATCTTCAGTATCAACCTCTTTGACCTTCAGCAGCTGTTTTCCTGACCTCTAACCCACCCCCACCCTTACTGTCCCCATGCTTACCCCCAGCTTTTCCAAAAGTCCTGCAAATTCCTAACTCTGCCATTAAGCACTTAATATCTGAATACATCAAGTGGTTTCTGTTTTGCTAACTGACCCCTGATGATAAAGACGTCACAGTAAGGACTGGGAAAATAGTTTATTAAATATTGTCACTGTCTTGACTATCAGATACATCATGTCAATGTGTAAATATAAAATCACATTTCAAAGTCAAATTTAAATTTACTGGGATTTCTTCTTTGCTTCTCTCTGACAATGACAACTAAGACCATTCTATATTTTATTAGTTTCTTCACTCCTTAAAACAGTTTTTAAGTGATGTTCAAATAAACTTCAAGTAGCTATCTTCAACTCTTTCCGAATAAAAATTTCTGTTCTTGAAGCATAGGCTTGTAATTCATATACTTGATATTACTCAATGGCGTTTTATCTGTAGAAGGAAGAGGAAATCAAATTTCAATGACTATTAGAAAAATGTTTAGCCTGGCCAGTGTGGCTCAGTGGATTGAGCATCATCCTGTGCAGGAGGCAGCCGATAGATGTTTCTCACATCGATGTTACTGTCTCTTCTCTCTCTTCCTCTCTCTCTAAAAAAGTCATTAAAAAAATAAACTGTTTAGCCATTACTCATTTGCTGCCTCTGTCCTCTGACATGATACATTAAGCTCTGCAGGTTCTACATTTGCTGCTAGAGTCTAAGTACTACTTTCATAAAGTTCAGATTCAAGATCATACTTAAAGATCAAAGCAGTTGTGACTCAGTGGAGCTTGACTACTACATGACTCCATCTTGGCAAAGGGTTTTTTGTTCAAGAAACGTCCACAGTCAATAAGACAGAATAATTGTTTTCCCCAATATACTTCAGGAAAACACTGTTGATATTCACAATGCATTATAACATTTCTCTCAAGTCTCTTTTCTAATTCTTTTCCTTCTCCACTTCTCTCTATCTCTACTTATTTAATAACTAGTAACAAACTTACATAATGTTTTCTACATATCAGGTACTTTTTTAGGTACTTCACATATATTAACATATTTAGTCCTTACAATGATCCTATGATTAGGTTTTATTATTATAAGCCCCATATTACAGATGAGGAAACTGAGGCTCAGAGGGGTCCAATGCCTTGTTCACAGAGAAAACAAGTGGCAGAGCCAATGGTAAGAGCACTTGGCAGCTAGGCAGCAGGGTATGAGCCTCAAAGCTGATTATCAACCCACCCTCTTCAGCATCTCTTTCTTCTCCAGCCCATTTCCCCTTTCGCAGTGTCATTTTTTTCTAGCCAGTAATTCTCTGTCTTTTTCATTGAAAGATTCTAACAATCCAATCAGCACCCTCTATTTCTCTTTTTCACCCATGACCTCAGGGTGCCTGCCTGAACTCTCCTTGGGATGACAGAAAAGAGGAGCTGGGGAGGAAATAGGAATGGTTCTGTGAATACCCACAAATAGTAGTTATTTTTCTTCCTGTTAAAGAGAAATTCACCTTTAACCCCTATGTTTAGGAGCTAAAGAAATATTCAAAACAAATGAAACTGATGACACCAATGAGCAACAGGATAAACCTAGAGTGAAAATTAAAGAATTAAAGTGAAGATCTTGAGAGAGCAGGTTATAATAAAGCAGGACATTTAGTCTCTGAACTAGTCTTCTTGTTTTTTGTTTTCCTTTTCCTTCCCCATGACCTTCTGTTTTCTCTTTTCTTTTTTTTTTTTTTAATCCTCACCCTAGGACATTTTTGCATTTTTTGGTTCAGACAGAGTAGGAGGGAGAGAGAGGAAGAAAGAGAGAGAGAGAAACATTGATTTGAAAGGGACACATCGAGTGGCCGTCTCCCACACGACCCAGCCAGGGCCAGGGACAAACTGCAGCCGAGGTACGTGCCCTTTACGGGAACCAAACCCAGGTCTCTCTGGACTGCAGGCCGATGCTCTAACTGCTGAGCCAGACCGGCCAGGGCAAGTTCTCTCTTTTCTTTTCTTTTTTTAATCCTCACCCAAGGACATTTTTTTGATTTTGTTCAGATAGAGTGGAAAGAGAGAGAGAGAGAGAGAGAGAGAGAGAGAGAGAGAGAGAAACATCGCCGTGAAAGGGACACACTGAGTGGTTGCCACCCACATGACTCAACCAGGGCCGGGGACAAACTGCAACTGAGGTACGTGCCCTTAGTGGGAACCGATCCCCGGTCTTTCCGGACCGCAGGCCAACGCTCTAACCGCTGAGCTAAACCAGCCAGGGCAAGTTCTCTCTTTTCTTAATATGGTTCCAGCTGCCATCTCAGAAGCAACATTAATGGGGATGAAGATGATCTGCCATTTATCTTATGAGAAAGTATTAAGTTGGTAAAAAAAAAAACCCCACAAAAACATAATGTTAGAATATAGAGAAGTATCCTAGTTTAGTATGTCAAAATGGACTTGAAGACTTGAAGTCTAGGGCTTTCTGTGCCATAAAAATCTCAAATAAAATAGAATAATAGATATATTTAGGCTGTCTTCAAAGGAGAGAACTCAAGGTTTTCTATTTATTTTTCTCAACAATAGATGATCAAATAAATACTCAATAATTTTTATTTTCCAGGTTTTCAAGCCATGTTAGTATTATGGTCTTGTGCTCTTCAAAATGGGGGTCACACACTTTCAGGTAGAACACCAGTGCTAGGAGAAAAACCTATTTATTCCACGTTGTCTCTAGGTCGGACTGATTCAGTATCACGCTTCAAAAAGACAATTCCTTATTATTTCTCAATATCTAGTATACCAGCATACTTCATGACCTTTTGGCTTTTTGAAATGCTAAACAGTATGTAATTACTTTTTTAATTAGAACGTTAAGCAGGTTTTGAGAGTTCTGCTGCAATTTTTGTTGTGATCATTAGGCCACCCTGGTATGTATAGCAATTGGGATTGAAAAATTAATCTCAGTTGTTAATATTTAGAAATTAAGATTGCAGACCAAACAAAATTCAGTTTAATCTTATGGAAACAGACATGATCACAGAAACTTTTAAAATGGATGTTTATATAGCACTTAAGTAAATGTGGGTCAATTTCAAAAACTCTAAGAAAGCTTCTATTCTCCCTTTGCTTTCTTGATTTCTGAAATAACAGATGTATCCTAATTCTAATGATGTAAAGAGGTTTATTTCTATTGCTTTTCCTGAAAAAGATTTTAATAGAGAGAAAAAAAGAAAGAAGTACTTTCAAGGAAAAGAGTGAGGCCCTGGCCAGTTTGGCTCAGCAGTTAGAGCGTCAGCCTGTGGTCTAGAGAGACCCAGGTTCGGTTCCTGCTAAGGGCCTGTACCTCGGTTGCAATTTGTCCCCAGCCCTGGTTGGTCGTGCAGGTGGCAGCCAGTCGATGTGTCCTTTTCATGTTGATGTTTCTCTCTCTCTCTCTTATTCTCTCTCCCTCCCACTCTACCTGAACAAAAAATAGAAAAATGTCCTCAGGCGAGGATAAAAAAAAAAAAAAAAAAAAAAAAAAGACAAGAAAAGAGTGAGGATTGACAAATCTTTAGAGGCACATGATCCACAGAAAATGTTTTGGGCCACCCTCAAATCAATGAAGTAGTGACCCATTGACTTAAAAAATGGTAGTTTCTTTATGAGAGGGTGATGGTGCTCATGTTTTTAAATTTTTATTAAATCTATTGGGGTGATATTGGTTAATAAAATTATATAGGTTTCAAGTGTACAATTCTATAATACATCATCTATATATATTGTATTATGTGTTCACCACTCAAAGTCAAGTCTCCTTCCATCACCATTTATGACCTCTTTACCCTCTTCTACTTCCCCCCACCTCCCTTTCCCTCTGATAATCATCATAGTCAGCCCCCCAATACTCCCACCCCTGAAGGAGGACATTTTATCTAATATTTGACCAAAATATAAATTAACTGTGTCTTAAATCTGTATTATAGAATATTTGCTCTCTCTCAGCTCCAGTGCCGTAAAATAACTCCTTAACATTTGAAAGTTGTATCTACACACTGAAATTCCTTAAATGCACATAAAAATTTTGAATAAGATAACTCTATCACGATACAAAATAATATTATTTTTAGATTTAAAGGCAAATAATAAATCCTTATATATATATTTTGGAAATAAAAGAAAATAAAGCATTAACAGATATCAGTTACTAAGTAGAATATCTGAGTAGATAGCATATGTCAATATCTAATATTTGTTTTTTTTTTGTTTAAAATTTGAAATACCTGTATTTTCTTTTCACATTTGACTCCAGAATATCCAGTGCGGCAAGAACACACATTGGGAAGTACACATCTGCCTCCATAAAGACACTTTTGATTGCAAATTGCTGTAATACACAAATTTTTACAATTACTATCTTTGACACAAGTGCTTGTGACATATTCCATTCTGGTGGTCTCAAGCCGTTCAATGCCTCAGCAACAGAAATAGTCATAAGAATCTATGAATGACCAAATGCACTCCCATCTTTCTGCAACCAGAGAGCAAACACAAACACACACACACACACACATCAAAAAACTAGTCACCTGAAACTCAACACAATTTTACAATTCTATGAAGACATTACTAAACAAAATTTTCATTGACTACATTTAAAAATATATCTTTTTTGTTATCTTCAGATAGGAGATTCAAATTAGTAACATAAGATGGCATTCATTTATAATATGCTTTTTAAAAATTTAGCATAAATTTTAAAAGGATAATTCAGTACAGGTCAGTAAGTGGAAAAAAAACAAACAACTTCATATACTATCAACAGAAGTTTAAAGTGAAACAACTGTACTGGAAACTTTCTAAAGCTTTTCATACAGCCCATACTAGATTTTTTTTTTTCTTAAAAGCTCTTCTAATGAGATTTAAAAATACCTTTATTTCAATATATCTCAATATCTATCATCTACCTATCTACCTGCCTACCTTTCTACCAATCTGTCATCTATCTGCATACCCACCTATAAAGAGAAAATTTTAATGGTAATAACTTCTAAATAACTAAAATGTTCCACATAAGAGGAAAGGAAAGTGAATTATAGTGTTAGTATTATGGAACTTAATATATCATTTAAAGTTACGTTTTTAGGACATGGAAATGCTTTCAAGTAATATTTAGTGAAAGAAGCATAACATAAATTTATAAACAATACTCTTCTGTTTCCTGAGAAGGGTATCTGCTTCAGTGGCTCACGCTGGAACCTGGTATAATTCAAGACAACATTCCCTTTGGTTTAAATGCACCATTTGAAGGCTGTTTCCTCGGGACTGTGTGGCTGGGCCGGTTGTGCGATGCACAGGGCTGCCCAGCTGAGGAAGCACGGTCACATCACAGACATCATGGGTTTGAGTACTTGTCGATTTTCCAGAAAGAGGCAGCAGGACATGTTGTTCAAATAACGTCATCAATATTTAGACAGTTTCTGAGTAGTTGGAAATAAAGCATTTTAAAGAAGGGGACTTTTAAAAATACACAAAGGGGGAACATTTGACGTCTTTCTCCCCGGCACACGTCATCAGCTGGGCTCCAACAAACTCATGCACGTTCTCCGCAGGTCTGGACGTTCGTCGACGTGCCCTTGACGTGCCCTTGACGCAGTGCGTGGGTTCCGGCAAGCCCCGCCCACACCGGCTCCCTGCTTCCACCCAGGGAACTTGCTGAGTTTCTCCCAGAGTTCTGGGCCTCCTGGTTCCAAGCAGCAGGCCTTGACTTAAGCTGCTCTTGAAAAATCTTCAAGGTGGATAAGAGTTGAGATAACCCAGGGTAAGAAAAAAAAAAAAAAGAGGTGGCGATTTCCAGTTTCGGCTTTTTTAATCCAATTGCTTACTGAGACGCTGGACAAAAATGTTGCTGACGACACGAGAAACTGAACTTTCTTTAATTCCAAAAGAGAGAGGACACTTGCTTTCCCACTCCACGTAGTGAAGGGGGTGGTGACAGTTGTTCAGACGTCACCCCCTCTGAACCCAGATGGCAGAGATGGGCGCCCCTCCGGTCCAGTGCGGAAACGAGGCCCATCCTGGGGAAGCCGGAGCCGGGACAAGGGCACCCTGGAGGGTTCATCCCAGGAGAGGAGCCCAAGAAAGGGGCCCATGCCTTGGAAAGCCTCGTGGTTCTGGTGTCATCCGGTAAGTTCCCACTGGCCCTTGCTCGGGTATTCATAGGCGACTAAGAATTTTTGTGGGATTGCCTAAGGAAACGTTTCCTTTAGGGTGCAGGGTAGTGCTGTAAGGAGATCACTGCATTTGGCTTGTCCGGAGACATGCATGTGAGCTGCTTTCCCTAGAGCTACAGATCTCAAAATTAACGGGAAACCATGAGTCAGAGGCCAAGAAGGCCCACCACAGTCAGCCTCCTGTTGATACTACCGAAATGAGGATCCTTTAATACTTCTAAATTGATTTTGGTGTGCACAGTTAGAAAAAGCTGGCTATAAATTAGGCAGAATGAATGGGGAATGTATTGGTCTTCGGAAGCTTCAAAAAGAGGATTTAGATAAAAAAGATCAACCTATGCTGTAGTTTAGGTGTCAACCCAATTCTTTGAGGTATTACAAATGTCTGTCCTCATTTTCAGAGGGGGAGGGTCACTTGGAACTAACTGACTTCTCAAGGATACAGAGAAATTGTTAATACCTCCAGGGAAAATGTGAACCCAGTTGTTCTTTTATTGCATTTTTCTCATGGCTAAAAGGCTTCTGTTTGTGTCTGCCTGTGTAGTAAATGTGAGATAATTTTCTACCTCCAGATGGTATTCTTAAAAATTAGTTGAAATGCAAGGGCTTGTGATAATTGGCTATGCTAAAATTGTCAGAAGTATAGAAGCTAACTCAAATGCTTTTCAAGTTCATGTGATCTAAGATTAATCCTTAGTAAATAAAAGGTAGCTTAAGTTTGTTGGTTTAAGCAAAACAGACATGTCTTTATTTTGCCTGGGTTTTACAAAAATAATTCCATGTTAATAATTGACTTTTAGGCCTATAAATCATGTTTCTAGAGGTTATAAAATGTCCACACTAAAGAATGCTCCTTGCACCCTGGCCGGTTTGGCTTAGTGGTTAGAGTGTCAGCCTGCGGTCCAGAGAGACCCAGGTTCGGTTCCTGCTAAGGGTGTGTGCCTCAGTTGCAGTTTGTCCCCGGCCCTGGATGGGTCATGCGGGTGGCAACCACTCAATGTGTCCCTTTCATGTCAATGTTTCTCTCTCTCTCTTTCTCTCTCTCCCTCCCACTCTATCTGAACAAAAAATGGAAAAATGTCCTCGGGTGAGGATAAAAAATAAAGAAAGAAAGAAAGAATGCTACTTGCTTATTTAGTTTTTATTAGAAATTGAGGTTTAAAGGGTTAAAAATCTCAATATATGTAGGAATAACTTGGCGGTATTTCAGAAAGGCCCTGGAACACCTCAAAAGATTTGAAATTGTATGAGAAGCACTGTAAAATAAGTGATGAAAATATACACAATAGTGTATATTGTATGGGCAAACAATGGTTATAAATTAAACAAATAGTAGCTTCTATGGGAAACCCAAGAGGTCTGCTTGGTTCTTTCCTGCTCCCTGGCTAATAATTATAACAGGCTGAGATTTAGAACCCATAGTAGAAAAAAGTGCTATAGGCTTACGTAGTTGACACTGCGTTCCTTCCCAGGTGTCAGGACAATGGCATATACTGGGAGCAATACATTCACCACCATTTTTGCATTTCTGAAAGCAGATAGCTGCACATAGAAATACAAATAAGTTACGAATATACTTTACTAGTCAAATTCTATCAAAAACCATGAAAAAATTCATTAGAGACAAAAAGACAGTTATTGCCCTGGCAGGTTTTGCTCAGTGGTTAGAGTGTCGGTCGGCAGACCAGAGAGTCTGGGGTTTGGTTCCCTCTAAGGGCACATACCTTGGTTGCAGTTTGTCCCCAGCCCTGGTTGGGGTTGTGTGGGTGGCAGCCAGTCGATGTGTCTCTCTCACATCCATGTTTCTCTCTGTCTCTCTCTCTCTTCCTCCTTCTCTCCCTCCCGCTCTGTCTGAAGATAAATGCAGGAAAAAAAAGACAGTTAAAAAACAATGATTAAAGGATCTTTTTTCTTAACATTTTATCCAGAATATTTTTAATGTCACTATTTATTCCTGAAAAACATGATTTTAATGGTTGTATACTGTTTCATTGATAAAGGGCATAGTGATTTAACTTTCCTCCAATTGTTAGACATTTATGTTGCTTCTCATTTTTCTCTTTGACCCATATGTTATAATAGCTGCTAATTTAAATTAATAATTTATAAAAAGGAAAAAAATCAAAACATTTGAATGAGAAGAGCTGCCATTATTTAAAAAAAACTCACTGAATTTGAAAGCAGTGTCGCCTTGGGAGGTTCTGAATTGGTTGGTCGAGATGGGACCACAGAATTAGTAATTTTTAAAAAGCTTCCCCTCCAACTTACATCCCACGCCTCAACAGAGTTTACTTGTTGGTAACTGTTTAGCCATAATATCTTATATCAGGAGGAACCTGTAATTTGGAGTCAATTAGGCAGTTTAGAAATCTCAGGTCTATTATTTGTTAGTTATGTAATCGTTATTCGTTATTAAACTGAGCCTCAGTTTTCTCATCCATAAAATGGGGGTAATAATACCTTTTGAGCAGATAAGGATTGAAATAAAATAATGGATCTAAAATGTTTACACCAGTTTATGGCATTTAATATGTGCTCAATAACTGGTTCCTTTTATAATTATCCATTTCTATTAAAAACCAAACAAAAAAACTTTCCCCTGACTCCTACTTAAGACTAGGAGACCAGGACTTAAAAACTGGTTATTTATCCTGGCAATTGTAGTGGATAGAGTGGAAAATACAATATACCCTCTTCCCCTACTAACTCAAAAGAATGCATTGAAAGAAGTTGGCATTTTACTCAGATTTCTGTTTCAAAAAGATATCGCCTAAAATAGAAACAAGCAAAAATAAAAACAAACAAAAACAAGGAAAATGCTATTTGCCTTAAATTCTAATTTATGTTCACAAGATACTGTAGGACTTAGCATTCTGAGTATTCCTCTTACGTGTGTTGCACTGTTTCCCTCTCCAACCAGAAAGACAAGAGCAAATGTTTGGTCCCACACATTTTCCTCCGTTCATGCACATGGGATCACAGATGCCTGAAGGTGAAGAGATGACATTTCAGCCCTTAAATAGCGATAGTTTTGCTATTTAATGTGTTTGCTTTACCTTGTAGTTGGCAAATACATGTAGTGATGTCTTACTTTTTTGGCATCTCCTACCAGTGTATCCTTCACGACAGGTGCATACATTATTTCTCGTGCAGTGCCCACCATTCTTACAGGGAGGGTGACAGATAGCTAAAAGAATACATAGCAGCAATCTGTAAATATTACACATTCAATTATTATATATTACATATTACATCATGTGCTTGTTATCTATGGAGTCATAAGGCAGAGAGATGTGCTATTAAAATAAAAGATCACAGCTGCAAGTCACTAAAATCATCCCTTCTAAATCATAAAGTACAATTCTTAGAGCTATAAGCTGCTAGTAGGTTAGCACAATTTGCAATGTATTGGTGAAGTGGTCATAACAAATGGGGTTTTTGGTATTATAGTGCATGTGTTATGAACCTTATATTTCACCACACTTTGAAGTAAAGTGTAAAATGATCTGATCAAAACCAAGAAAGTAAGTAAAAAAAACCTACCTCTAAGTAAGAATGTATCTGTTCCAGTGGAAATCAGAAAAATCTGAATAATCTGGCACGTAATATTTAGTAAATACTTTTAAATTAACTTTTAAATGCCTACTGAGATAATGAATGCAGAGCTTTATATGTGACATTTCTATGACTGTTTGGTAAAAATCTTTTTAATTATAAACCCTTGGCCTTGTTAGGAATATTGGGTAATCTTGAATATTCTGTAGTGTCTTCTATATATATGATTCTGTTCCATGAAGTTCAGAAGCTAATATTTATCATCTTTTCTGAGAGATTATTATTGCTTCAGGTTTCTTCCAGATAAATGTACTTGTTTTGCAAATAATAATACATGGGCAATTTTAAAATTAATTTTCCATAAATAATAAATAAATGAATTTTAGTTTTTGTTTTAAAAACAAATGTCAAATTAACTGATTTTGATAATAGGGACACTGTAGACTGACTCCCCATTTTAATTAGATTTATCTTAAATAGCTGCTTTCTTTATTTCCAAACACTGTAAGAAAAATTCAACTGATTTCAAATGGGTTTATAAGTGAAAATAATGTAGTACTTTATGTATAAAAACAGTATAACTGAATTATTTTAACAAATGGATAATTATCATTATTTTAGACTGAGCTTTTTCTGGTTCATGCTTAAGTCTACTTTTTTTTTGCTACTTTTTAAAAAAAATATGTTTTTATTGCTGTTTTAGAGAGAGAGAAAGGGAACGAGAGATAGAAACATTAATGTGAGAGAGATCATGCCCCACACTGGGGACCGAGCCCACGAGCAGGGCATTTGCCCTGATGGGGATTCGAACCAGAGCCTTTCAGTCCACGGGATGATGTTCAATCCACTTAGCCACACTGGCTGGGCTTTATTGCTACTTTTTATTATGGAGAAATACTCGTATTTTCTCCTTCTTAATCTTTATATAATTTAAGATTATTTGTGTTTATTAAGAAAAGGTAATTCTTTTTATTACAAAAATACCATAGGAAATGCCTATGGTTAGAAATTTAAAACTAAAAAAATTAAATGAACAGAAGACCTATTTATGATGGGTAACCTTGTTGTCATTTATATTCATCCATTTCACAAAACTTAAATATAGAGATAAATACTACAAAAAAAGTATATGTAATAAATGTAATATAGTGAAAGAAATGGCATAAAAGTTAGGCTTGTTCAATCCCATTTTAGGAGAAGGAGGTTTAGGAGAAACTTCATCTTCACACATACATTTAAGAAATTCTTTAGGATTCAGATAGATCTTTCATCGAATTCCAAAGTAAGCCAAGTTTTCTGGCCCCAACCTTCTGTGTGGGTCATGCTCATGGCATTCAAGGATGAGGGGAATTAGAAGATATATTTAATCATCTCTCCAGCCCCATACTTTAAACTTTGCTTATTAATAGTGTAGTTTAACTCTTTCATGATGTTTCTCACTCAATTTTTATCTTCCCCTTTTGAACTCCTATAGAACGCTCATAATAGTCTGCCTAATTTTATTCAGTGGCTTTTGATGAGTGTACCATCTTTTCTTCCTACCAACTGGGCTCACATCAGGCTCAGTGATGCATGCAATTTAATAAGAATAAAAATTACGTTTCTATATCTTCTGCATCTCCGTAACATGTCTTAGTGACAATAATACTATTACATGATAGTAGCTGGCCATGTGCTGATTGTATGTACAAGCAGTACCTCATAACAACTGTCTGGCTCAGACTTGAAAACTAAGATGGTTTAGTCCTGTAAACTTTAAGTAAATTTCCAAAATCAATGGCAGCTAGGAAGTTGTAGAGACCAGCTAATTCCAAAATCTGCTAACATGACAAATGTTCAATAGATAATTTTAGTTCTCCTTTATAATTTAGAGATGTCCCTCCTCTCCTAGTTATACAGCTGGAATATAGATTTTAGAGAACTTTTAAAATTATATCTTACATCTACTTCAAGTAGTATGAGATGTAAGCTTTTCATTTCCCTTTGTACATTCTCCATTCAATACTATACTTATAACTCATAAACATGGGTTTCAATATAGTCTACTAGTTTTCCAGATTTGCCTTAACTTTACTTTCTTTCATTTTGCTATCTGGTTCCCTGCAGGAAGAAAATCTGAATTAGAGGAACTCATTTCCTATGTGCACATATGTAGTATTAGAGTGATGGTTTTTTTCTGTGCCTTAACTGTAACCTAAGACTCCTAACCAACCTCCAAATAAAAGAATGGAATCAAATCAAATTGTAGCATGGAAGAAATGTAAAAATTTTAGGAATTGAATTATAACATGTTCAGATATACTTTTACTAAAAAATGCACCCTACTAAAAATATGAATATCAGAAAATATGTTTTAAATTTCATTTTCTCACATTAATTCATGCCTATACTGACAGCTTTAGGACATGCCCATTATTCTGGAGGAAAAACAAAAAAACAAACAAAAACACAAGCTGTAGCATTAACATTATGAAGGAAAGTATTAAAATAACAGGACACAAAGGGGAAAATGATGCACCTTTATGTTCCCATATGACCTTGCATAGTGCTTTGTACAGCTGGATCTTCATAAATGTTTAATAAAAACTAAAGTTAAGAGAGAGCATGAGATAAGAGATTGAGTACAAGTCAAACATGTTTTGCTGTAAAGGCAAGAAATAAAACACCATTTTATTATAAAAGACTGCAAGAAATTTGCTTATTTGTTATACACTGTGGTTCTACAAAACTACACAGACAGCTGCCGTGGTTGTGAGCCTAATATATGTTGAATAAATATAACCATTTTTCATCATAATTCTGATATGTTTCTATGAAGTGATCCTTTGGTGGCCAAACCTGCAACATTATAAGAGAAAAAAAACTAAATAGTGTGTTGCCTTTGGGACTTGTCTTTTTGTATTTACTCAGACCTCTATTTATGTCTAAGTTTCCCTTTGACATTTTATTTATAAAGAAAGAATAATTACCATTCTGACACTGTGCACCAAAGAATCCATTTGGACAGAAGCAAGTGTTTGGCTTATTACAGGAACCACCATTGAGGCAAACAGGGTCACACAAAGCTAATGAACAGCAGGAGGGAGAAAGACCATAAAAGTTTTATTATTCAAAAAACGAGAACTGCACAGAAGTACAAAATAGTGCATAATGAATATATTTTATTTTTACTGCAAGCAAAACCCATAACCTATAATTAATTAGACTTTGCCAAACATAAGAGGAATGAAATAACTGGGTAATAGCTTTGAAAGTCTGTTCATTAAGCTTACAAATAAAACCAAGCTAAGAACATGGAGACTGTGGTTAGAATTCAGAATGCCTTGCTAAACTGAAAGAGTGACTGGAAGTTAGAAGACAATTCAAAAGCTCAAAGAGGATTGTCTGTAATGTGCTCCAATACATGTGGCCATGTGTACTCTTTAAATTCCTTCCCAATTGGAAAATGAACACTGCACTCAAGTCCTAGCACACTCAGAAAGTCTTTGTTTCTGCTTCTTTAGCTTTGCTCCATTTTGAAAAGTATCCCCAATTTTATTTTTTTAAATTAATTTATTGGGGTAACACTGGTTAATAACATTATACATATTTCAAGTGTATAACTTTATAATGCAGCATCTGTATACTACATTGTGTGCTCACCATCCAAAGTCTAGTCTTCTGTCACCATATATTTGACCCCCTTTACCTTCTTCATTCTCCCCACCTCCCTTCCCCTTTGGTGACCACCATTGTGTTGTGTGTATCTGCGAGTCTGTTTTGTTCATTTGTTACTTTTTGTTTATATCCCACATACAAGTGAAACCCTTTTCCGTTTTTCAATCCAGATTTTACCCATTCTCTGAGGTCTACCTCAAATACCTTTTTCTTCCAAACTTCATTTGCCAAGATTAATTTTCCTCTTGTCTGTTTCTAAGAAACTAACTGTACATTAATTACATAAATTATTATAACTCCACTTGTATCATAGGGTTTTTAGTAATTGTATCCTGTGTCTCCTTCACTAATGATATGCTCCTTAAAATCAGGGCAAAATCAGATTAATCTTTGTTTCCCTTTGCATTATGCTTCACCCGTAGTTGAAAGGCTACAAATGTTGAATTAAATCTATGTTGAGAAAAGTCATTAGGTCACAATGTATTAGATTAAACGTAGATAATTACAGACACTGCTGCCAAAGTAGTAAGCCTGATATTGTGATAAATAAGTGGAATCATGTGATGGAGCCCACTTAACTCAGAATTGCTAGAATGTATAAGGAATAGAATGTTTGTGATAAAATTAAAACAAACAAACAAAAAAAAAAAACTTGAAAGAAATCTAAAAGATGCAACCCAGATATATATCTGTCCACCATAGGGCAGGTGGATGAAGAAACTGTAAAGAAAAAAAAAAAAAAAAGAAAGTATTGGTTTGGTTGGATAACATTAAGGCTTTTATACAGTCTATGGTCTGATAGATGAAAGATAGATTTTTAAAAATATGTCTGAAGCCTGGCTGGTGTGGCTCAGTGGTTGAGCGTTGACCCATGTACCATAAGATTGACAGGTCAATTCCCGGTCAGGGCACATGCCCAGGTTGTGGGCCAAATCTCTACTGCGGGGCATGCAGGAGGCGGCCAGTCTATGTTCTCTCTCATTGATGTTTCTCTCTCTCTCCCTCTCCCTTTCTCTCTCTCTAAAATAAATAAAGGGGAAAAAATATGTATGAAAAAAACTTCATACCAATCAGATTAGTTTTATGTCTTAGGGTGCAAGTCTTTAGGACCTTGACATACTTAAAATTTCTTTTTAACTGACATTTATTGAAAATATATATATATATTTTTTATCCTCACCCAAGGACATTTTTTCATTTATATCCTCACCCAAGGACATTTTTTCATTTATCTTCAGATAGAGCAGGAGAAAGAGAAGGGAGAAGGAGAGAGAAACATGAATGTGAGAGAGACACATCGAGTGGCTGCCATCCCCACAATCCCCACCAGGGATGGGGACAAACTGCAGCCGAGGTACATGCCCTTAGCAGGAACCAAACCCGGGACTCTTGGTCCGCGGGCCGATGCTCTAATCACTGAGCCAAACCGGACAGGGCTATTGAAAATATTTTTTATTTTACCTGTACTGCAGGTGGGTCCATACCAGCCAGGCTTGCACTGGCAAACATCTGGTATAAGGCACTGGCCTCCATTTTCACAGTGCCTGTTGCAAACCACTGATATCATTTGATAAAAATAAAAGAAAGGTAAATTAAGCTTGGAATTGGTCATGTTATTGGTTATTACCTGGCTAACTCGTAACTGCTAATTACATTTTCTAATTAATAAGATCAGAGAGAAAGACAAAAATAATTTATCCTTTGCCTTTAAGTGGTCTCCAATTCTTATATTAAGTTATTTTTATTTATTTATTTTGCTAATAGAGTTAGGAAAAATAGAAAACCATTGAGCTGAATGGTAAACAAGAAATGAGCATTTGGAAAAATTATTAGTTTCTGATGAAAGTAATCACAGACATAAATTAATTGAGATAAATTTATATACAATTCAAGCAACTGAATTCTTGTTAGTGAAAAAAAAAAGAAAGAAAGAAATGCAGAAATTGGTATGAATATGGTCAAAAAGAGAATTGCTTCTAAGAAGAAACTTTTTTTTTTTTAATCCTCACCTGAGGACATTTTTCCGTTTCTTGTTCAGATATATATATAGAGAGAGAAACATCAACGTGAAAGGTACATGTTGAGTGGTTGCCACCTGCACAACCCAACCAGGGCTGAGGACAAACTGCAACCGAGGTACGTGCCCTTAGCAGGAACTGAACCCGGGTCTTTCTGGACCGCAAGCTGATGCTCTAACTGCTGAGCCAAACTGGCCAGGGCTAAGAAGACCTTTATCTTAGTTTTGGCACCTAGCCTTCCAGCAGTATGCAGAATGGTAACTGTCGTAATAAATCATGAATGTGTGGTTTTTACTTGAGGTTTGGCACCTAGCCTTCCAGCAGCATGCAGAATGGTAACTGTCGTAATAAATCATGAATGTGTGGTTTTTACTTGAGGTTTGGGTTTATTTCAGTTAGCATTAACGCCATAAACTATTCAAAGAAGCAGTTTCATTATATGAGACCACAAGAGAGCTATGCTTACTTGTTTCACACCTTGGTCCCACAAAACCATAAGGACAAGTACACAGATTTCCAGCCAAGCAGGTGCCACCATGTTGACAAGGTGGGCTACAATATTCTGCAGATACAGATTATGTTATTAAATAAGTTCTCAATGAAAAAAAAAGTCAGTTTATGTTTGTGAAGCACAGCCACAATAAAAGCTTCTTGTAAGAGTAAATTATAAGCCTAGTTCTCTTTTACTATGAAATTTGGTTCTGTGGGATTCACTATGAGTTCATACTTTGAAAACACCCACAAATCATTAGCATGTCTTGCTTTATAAAACTTATGGTTAACTGGATAGAAATATATGATCTTAGCTTTCTTCTGAAAAGTGAGACTTGGACTTCTGCATTCCAGCCTACAAATAGAATATTTTTATAGTTCCATAATTATTTTCATATGTATTGATATTGACTGTTTCTGTTAGTTTATTCTAGATTTACTTTGTTAATTTGTACCTTGTTATGAAAGCATTTAATGTGGCTCTATTTTATTAATAATTATATTACCATCTATCAACATATATTCTTTAAAAATATTATCTTTAAAATAACAAATTTATATTTTCAAAATATTATTCACTTTAGCTATACCATTTTATAAAGTCTCCACTTAAGATTTCAGCCAAAAAATAAAATACAATTATATGGCTATAGACATGTTTTTAAAAATCACTCTTTAGATTTCTTCTTACTACCTGGTATCTTTTAATTATTTGGTATTTCAATTCTTTGGAATCACGTTTGACAAGTCATTCAGTAATCAGGTTTCCTTTGCTTGAAAGTAAAATATCTGTAGGGATATGGCAACTTATAACTAAATTTCAAAAAATTATTTCTAAGATAATTTTACCAAGGGCAAATAAGCTATTGCTCTTTGCTCTTTGGCTCTCTGATTTTAGAAATTTATGTTTCTTAAATCTTCAAATAAATTATTTTAAACAAACATTAAAAATTTGACTCCTTCACCAGCATTCATGAATACATATTAGCATGTATACAGGAAAACTCTCTTTAAAAAATGTTTAGAAAACATTGTTTTATTTTGGCTCTATAACTTTGATTTTTAATTTGAATTATCACCTTCATCACAGGTTGCTCCAGTATGTCCTGGGGGACATTCACAAATGTTAGGTTTAATACATTTTCCATGGTTTTTACAATCAGGATGACATACAGCTGTATGAAATAAAGCTCATGGTTAGAAATATCAATTATCAATTAAATTAACCATGCAAATTAATGAGTGCTATACCTACCAGTTTGGCAGTTAGAACCTGTGTAACCAGGTTTGCATTTGCATATATTTGGGGCAACACACTCCCTCCCTTTTCCACATGGGTGTCTACAAATGGCTGCAAAAGTCAAGGATAAAAGGCTGAGTTGTTAATACGGCATGTACATGCTGCCCATAAACTTAGTCATAGTGAAAGTAAAATTCTCTGGAATTTGAAAATTTTGATACTGTTACTAAATAATAACCACATTTATCCATGAAATTATTTTTTGCCCTTATATTTGCTTTACTACGAGAATGACTGAGGAAATGACTAATAGGGTAAGAAAGAACCATATGGGTAATTCCTCCCATAGCAAAACCTGATGTCAGAGATGGTTGCTAACCATAAATGGGATTAGTCTTTTCCGGAGGGCAATGAAGTGTCACATACTAATCAAGTAAATGTTAATGAATGGCAAGGATAACCAGAATTTAAGGATAACCAGAATTTCAGAGAGCAAGATGCCAGGAACACATCAGAAGCTTATAGGTTTATATTCCTTAAGCTTTTATAACTGCTGATATATTCTAACTATTGGACATTTAACACTTCTGAGGTAACTGAAATGTATGAGGTTGTTTTGTTTTATTTGATAATAATGTTTTATATTATAAACATGTAAGTATTAAAGATTATTATCATTATTTTACAGAAACAAACAAAAAATGACAAAAAAAACAAGTGTTGAGAACAAAGGAATACTCCAACAGCTATTGTTTAAGTAAATAGGTCTCAAACACATCAAAACAAAACAACAATAACAAAACAAAACAACGAAAAAAAAACCTCTATGTTGTCAAAGCCAAAACTTTGATTTGCATCAGAAAACACAATGTGAAAAGAAGTAAACACTTTTTTTCAAAATTAGCGGGTTGCCCAATTTGTTTTATTCTCAAGAGCTGGAGGAATTACAGAGAAACGTAATTTACACAAATAAGTAAAGATGCCAAAATTACTAGTAATTTAAAGGGCTAAATGCCTACTGTGAGCTGATAAGGAACCCAGACCACAGTGTTATTCATGTCCTTATTTTATCTCTTTAGCTGCTTAATTCCAGGAAAATCAGTTAGTCCTTTGCCTTCTCATCTGTATAATGAAAAAGTAAAACCCAATTTGTGGGGTCCTTGTGGCTTATGTGACTAAATTGATAAAGAATGTTTCCATAGACCATAGTAGGTACTCAATAAATATATTTATATTATATAGTTTCAATTCTATTTAATATTAACATTATTATTAGAAATAACTCAGAAACACCCATGTTAATTTTTTTGAAATGTGAAAAGAATATAAGCAAATAGTAAATAAGTAAAATGAATAGAAATTAGTGAACTAAATGGAGTAAATAGAAATTAATAAATAGAAAGCATGTCTTCTTAATTACTTTAATGTGAACTTGATAGTTTTCTTTGAATATTCTGAAGAGTTTTCATACTACCTCTGCAATTGATACCATCTCCGTAATATCCAGGGGGGCAGCGTCCACATTGGAAGTGACCATCTGTGGTTGACACACAGGAAACACCCAGAAAGCAAGGCGATTCTGCACAAGTTGATATTTTGGTTGACTCAGGCTTTTCTGGCAAAATAGTGATGGCTCTAGTAACTGGTGATGCAAACCCATCCTTATGCTGTGTGTAGCCTTGGTCAGACTTGTTAATTTGAGAATTATATCCTCCTGCCTCTGTTTGGATGGTCCCTTGGATAACATCCTTTACTTCATCATGGGAGCGGTTTGGGTTAATGCTTATAGAGCTATGATTGTTCATAGGAATGTCTAACTCCCCCAGACTGAGACTTGTACTCAGAGTATGATCTGCGTGTTTAAAACTTGATATCTGATGAGAAATTGCCTTTGAATTATTCATTCTAGTTGTAACTGATTTTAATAAGAATTTCAAGATGTCATTGGTTTTGATAGTAGCCGGACTGTGGGTAAAACTTGCACCAGTTAGTAAATGCTCTGTTGATGGTGACTGAAAATTTATATCTAAACAACCAAAAAAAAAAAAAAAAAAAATGTTAGTATTTTTTATTAAGGTTCTGCTCTACCCACAGTATTTAATATTAAGTAATTCATTCCTTCATTTAATATCTATTGCATGTATAACTATACTAGAAGCAATGCAGTAATGAAGACTCATCTCATGACTCCTGCCTTCAAGAAACTTATGCTCTATTTGAATGCACATGATAAAAGAATGTTATACAGTATAACAGTTAAAGGACAATAACTAATAGTTTTACTAAGCGTTAGAAATAGTCAACACTTATTACCACCTAATACAGATTAGGCTCAAAGCAAAAGAAAGCACAACTCCATCCCTGAGAAATTCAGTGTTGTCAAGGATAAAGACATGTGAGCAACTCATATTAATGATCTGTGATCATTACTATATGAGTGACGGCTATGAAACCTATAGGATCATAGAAGAGTGAACAAACTTATTTTGCCTGGAAAGGGGTGGACAGAAGTCGAATGCATATGTGAAAATTAATTGGTAAATTATATAAATGCTATTTTGTATGAGAGGCAAAGAACTGTGCCTCTAATCATTTTACCAGTGTGACAAAATGGGATTTTATATTCCCATCTTTATTGGTTGCTTACATAGTAATTAAACATTTTTTATCTTCTTTTTTGGAGAGAAGGGAGTCATCATTGTTTCTCTCTTCCAGGGTACTTTATTTTCCTTATCCAGTAACTCTTTAAAAAAAATTCTTTAGTATGAAAAAGTCTAGTATTTTAGAGTATGGACAATTTTAAGTAGTGATTAGATATGTTTCCCTTTTATACTTTCTACTGTCAGTTTAGAGTTGATTTTTGCAGTCTTCATGCATAACTCTTCTCAAATCCCTTACAAGATGAAACAAGTGGAAACCAAATCAAAACCAGAAAAAGACAGAAGAAAACAAACCAAAATCAACAATAAGAAATAATCTTTAACATAATTGACAAACAGAAACTAGATTTTTGATCATTTTGGTAATTTTGAGAACTTACAAAACACAAAAAGCATAGAGGCTCAGACTAATAGAGTTACAAGAGTGTACCAAATATATCCCAAAACAAAAATAAGAACAAAGTGATAATCACAGTATAAAGAGCAAGAGGACCCTGGATCAATCCTCGGGTGAACTGATTAAAATTCTGAGGAAGTTGGTGTCCTCTTCCCCAGCCTTTGTACTCTGAAGGGACTGCTCCTTTCCGCCCCAAACTGCTTCATGTGAATCCTCTCCTTAGGAGAGTTTTTGGCATTAGAAATGAAGGAAGAAGTAGAGAAGAATTGGAATTAATTCCAGATTACGAAAAATATAGCAGAAACAATGAAGGAAGGAGTAGATATTAGCACATGCACATAGTAAACACCATTGTTTTCTTTTGAAATTTAATATAATGACCTTAGAGTTCATGTTAAAGTATGCATCACAAATGTTGAAAAATTACAAAATAGAAGAAATGTGAGGGGATATTTACCTTAGTAATATTAAAGTATATTATAAAGCCACACCAATAAAATAATGCATAATTGGCATAGAAAAAGACTATTGGGTAATAAAAACATAATAGAAAGCTCAGAAATATATCTCAATGTATATGTGAGTTAAATATATAAAAAAACATGGTATCTAAATTCAGTGTGAAAGTATGGCTTATTTTAATAAATGATAATACATAACTGCTTATTTATCTGGAAGAAAAAAATGCTGCACCTCTAATTCACAACATAAAGTCCAGATGGAATAAGAACTAAATGTAAAATATAAAATAATTAAAAATAATAAATAGCTATAAGAAAATTTTAGAGATTATATGCATAACTTTTGATATGCATATCAAAAGACAGAACACCTTGTGGAACTGTGTGATTACATGTCATATTCCCTGCTATTATACTCAAACCCATGAAGTCAGAGGACATATCGTATATACAGGGTGGAGCAAATGTAGGTTTACAGTTGTTTGTGTGGAAATAATATAATAAATAAATAGTACTATAAGAATAAACTGTTCCACATACTTACAACTGTAAACCTATTGTTGCCCCACCCTTGTATTTTTGTATTCTCTGTATTTAGCTTAAAGCATGACAGGTAATGCTTATACACTGAATAGATTCATGAGTAAAAGGGAGACTGGAACTGAGTGATTTGAATTTATTAAATTCAGCAAAACACATTTTATGGCAGAAAATACGGAGTTTTACCATGACATATTTTTCCATCACCATAAAATCCTTTAGGACATGGCCCACAATGGTAGGAAGCAAAGGTATTGAGGCACTCTACTCCTGGAAAGCAAGGGCCAGATTCACACTCGTTAACATCTTCCTGGCAGTTTTTGCCTAAATAAAATACAGATTGAGAGTTCGAATTATTTCATTTGGAAAATAATACATGTCCAATAAAGTGCTCATTATTTGATTTCTTTTACTCTCTCTTTTTTTAATCCTCACCTGAGGACATTTTGCATTTATCTTCAGACAGAGCAGGAGGGAGAGAGAGAGGATGAGAGAGAGAGAAACATCGATGAGAGAGAGATACATCGAGTGGTTGCCACCCATATGACCCCAACCAGGGCCGGGACAAACTGCAACTGAGGTACGTGCCCTTAGCAGGAACCAAACCTGGGCGGGACTCTCTGGTCCAAGGCTAACACTCTAACCACTGAGCCAAACCAGCCAGGGCTGATATCTTTTACTCTTTATGTATGTCCTCCTAACTCCAAAAAAGTTGTCATTCGTTAAGAAGAGACAAGTATACTGTTTAAAAAATTTACTATATAATTAAACATAAAGTTATTAATTAGATTTTATTTAACATTAAGCCAGACCCTTCAATTACATAAGATCTTTCCTATAAATAAGATTTTAGAAGTTTTTAAATATTTTAAAGCAAAAAAATTTACCATATAAAAGTAGTAATTTGAACTTTGTTTTAAAAACTCAGTGATTTAAAATAAAAACAATTATTAGAATGGTTGTCTGTGGAGTTTAAGGACAACTTACTCAGTTGCACTGATTATACAACTTACTGCACTGCCTGTGAAAATCCATGACAATGTTACTATGTGCTAGGATAGTCAGTCTTTCCTCAAAATATTTTGAGGTGAAGTGTTGCTCTTTGAAATGTTAACTACTCCTTTAAATTAAAACATTCACAGTAATTAATGGATGGTAACTCTTATATAAAATGCATGACGCAATCATTTGAATTCTTTCTAATGTAGTCTATAGCATAATAGTCTCAATTTATAAATTGTTGTTTTAAAAAGCTAGAGAAAATTAGACAGCACCTAAATATCATTCTTAGTTCTATTATGATGTTAAAATAGATGCTTTTAAGGAAAATATCAGCCCAAGAACTTTATATTGACTTATTTAATATTTACATCTATTTAAATAAAATACAATATTGGTGTGAGTTTTTAAAAAGCCTTGGGAAGTTAAAGGTTGTCAGTTATATACTTATTTGAGGTTTATAGAATCAGATATTTTAGGACAACTAATAAATTAACAAATATGTTAACATTTCACTTGACTTCAACTCTAATTTTATGCTGTGATGTTTCTAAGTTAATACATTAATAAAACCTTTTAAATGATAAATTTTATATTTCCCTTGGGAAATTTCTTTATCATTCCATATTATATTTCATTAATAATACATTTTAATATATTTTTACCTACCAAATAGAGATAGAAATGCTTAGAAACTTGCAAAACACAATGCAAAAACAGAATATTTCTATTGAAATTGTAAAAATGAGCAAAGTTGCAAGAGTGCACATATAAGCAATTTACAGTAAAAAAAGAGATATGGGCCCAGCTGGTGTGGCTCAGTGATTGAGTGTCAACCTGTGTGCCAAGAGGTCGCCAGTTCAATTCCTGGTCAGGGCACATGCCAAGGTTGTGGGCCAAATCCCCAGTGGGAGGAATGCAGGAGGTGGCCAATCAGTGTTCTTTCTCATCGATGTTTCTATCACTTTCTCCCTCTCCCTTCCTCTCTCAAATTAATAAAGAAAAAAAAGAGATATGGATAACAAATGTGTTTGTGATGACTTTTACTAGAATTTTTAAATGTGTATTAAAATCTTTAGGAGATATATGTGCTTGAATAATCTGTATCTGAAGATTCCAAGGAGCTTTTATTTTCTTATTTGTTTATATAATATTTTTGTTCATAAGGAACCCAAACTTACCTTTGAGCTCAGGTGGACAATCACAGGAATAACTGTGAAAACCACTAACACATCTGCCAAGCCCACAGGGGTTTGATTGGCACTCAGTGACAGCCGCTTCACAGAGACTGCCCTGGAAGCCTGGCAAGCAGACACATATATATGCCCCACTTCCTGGAGGAAATTTAACATCAGACACACATGATCCACCGTTCAAGCAATCACAAGCCTTCACAGTCAACTGAATAAGAAACAAACAAACAAACAAATTTGCAATAAAATCATCTTCAGTTTATGTTCCAGAAGTCATGATAGGAATGTATGTTTGGGTATAAGTAGGACAAGATCATGCATTTTTGCAAATGTATGTATGTTTAATATACAATAGTATTTAAAAATAATTTAATAAGGTAATTATGCCTATTCTCAAGAGCATAGTAAAGTATAAATGCTAGAAATAATTTTTTTAATGTTACATGATGATCACCTTCTGTAATGCAAGCAAAACAACTAGAAAAATATCTTTAAGATGGAAAACAGTTATCAATCTAGAGAGTAAGCAAACACTTGAATTACCATGGTTAACATGACATAGTGCAAATTGCCCTTCATAACACTACTTTTGTGTGAAAGTGTGTCTCAAGTTTCAAGTGAATATAGAGCACAAAAAACAGTATTGGGAGCTTATGACTGATATCAAAATAATAATCAACTTAAATGAGAAAATATAACTCACAATTACTCATTTCAAATCTTATATTTCTGATTTATAATTTAATATTTACAATTCCTTCACCTGAAGGAGAAAGGTATGTTGACCCTGAGAAGGAATAGCCTGCCAAGAATGGCCCCTTGTGGTTAAAAAGGCTCAAATTCATAACCAGAGTCTAGATGCCATTGTGGGTAGAGGACTGTCGTGCACACTGAATTTAAGGGAAACATTTCTAGACTGAGTTGCCAGCCTCCAGCACTGTGTTCCTGCCATCTGAGCTATCCTTTTCAAGGGAGTTCCTGGAAATAACTTTCAACCAATCTGCTGAGACCTGCCATGTTCAATCAGAAACTGCACAGCTATATCCTCATTTGCATCTTCACTGACCAATCAGAGCAGCTCCATCATGACCAATCAGAATACATGATTCTGACCAATCAGGATAGTGCTATTTGGACCAACAGGACTGGGCAAATTTGGATTCCATATTTACATAGAAACAAACCAATCAGGGACCAGGGCAGGACCATGCTTTATAAAAGTGGGCTTTCCTTGTCTCAGAAGAGAGCACTTTGTTTCTTCTGGAGGATATCTTCCCTGTTTGCAAACTGTTTAACTGAATAAAGTTTCTCTTTTTACTACACTGCAGACTGGGGACTCCTACTGGCATTCATTGATGGCAGTGAACTTTTGTTAACAGATATCAATCTTAGATTAATCACAGATCTTTCTCAGAAATGAACATGAATGAGTTCTCTATCCTTGTCATAGTTAAGTGCAGAGAAGATGGTTTAGGAGATAGTAATTTAGATTCGTGCTCTAGACTTGAGACTCTCGATAATGTTTTAAGTTCTCACAAAATAGTTAAAATTTTGGCAGTTTAATGTTCCACAAAGTGTTTAATAATTTACTCTTTATAAATTAGGAATGTAAATTGTATTTCACATTTTAAAGTTATTACTATTGTTAATTAATTGAGTCGCATTTACACAATTATAAACCATACCTCAATTGTGACTTTCGTTTCAACATTGCAGTCATCACTAAGGAGTAGCGTGAATGGCAGGGGAGTTTGTGATTCTGCTTTCCACATAAGAAGTCCTCCAGAGGAAACATTTGCTCCTTCAGGACCAGAGTACAAGTTAAAATAGATGTCAGAGCCTTCTGGATCAAGGGCCATGAGCTGGTATACAAAGTTTTCCCCATAAAATGCCTGTAATTTGTCTTGCTGTATTTGAATCACTGGGGGTTGATTGTCTGTAACAGAGAAAACATTTACTTTTGTTCAAAGAAAGAAGAAAAGCATGCTACAGAGAGCCCATTGAGACAAGCATTTTGATAAAGTTTGAACTCTGCTAAAATTTCTATTACCCGATTTCACTTTAAAATTTTCTTTAACATTCTTAATAAAATCAATTCCATTCTTAGGAAATGTAAAAGTAACGGACAGGTACAAACTTCAAACTTTGCTATGAGAGTTTGAAAACACTTTGACTACAGTATTAAATATATTTTCATCGCCCAGATTGGATGTGCCTTCTCTTCTGTCTGAAATCAGAGTTGACGGTCTCACCGCTTGCTCTTTCACTCACTCGTTTACCTTCTGCACTTCTCAGCTTTCCTTTGTTCTTCACACCCCCTTTCTCTATTGTTTGTTTTCTATCCACGAGTGGATTATTCATTTGGCTCCTCTGAATTTTCCTTGCTATATATGCCTCCCCAGTTACAGCAAATGGGAGCCATTTCGTCATTACCAGTCTTCTGCTCCTCAGAAGTCCGTCCAGTGGCTGAGCTTTCACACTAGAATGGTAGATATTTTAGGGGACAAGGAGCATATTTTATGCTCATGAAAGGATTCAAGCATATTTTATATTGTCTTTAATCTTAAAATTCCCCCTTTTCTTGACCACATGCTTAGTAGATAGAAAAATAGCCTCGTTTTCATCACACTGGCCATAGACACTTTGCTTGCATTAACAAAGCTCTGATGCCAAGAGACTGTAGTTCTGGCTACCATTCTACCCTTGAATATATATCCTTATACAATTTACTGATTTTAATTTCCTCACCCTCAAAACAAAGGATATGGAAAAGATGATATTGCCAGACACATTATATCTTTGAACACTGTGAGTCTAGGATGAATCCGTCATACCAAAGCCATTAAAAACATAGACACCAAATCAGAAATTATATTGTGTTTCCCCTTATCTCTTGTACTACATTTATCCCCATATTTTCCATTGCCTTCCCATAATATCCCATGAGTCTTGCATCTGAACAATGAATCATCTGACATATTATCCAACACAGCAATGAAATTTATATGAGCAATAACATATAGTGGTGTTACAAAGTACTATATAAATACAAGGTTGTAGGACTCCCTTAGATAAAATTACATGGGGCCAGAGAGTAATTATATCTTGTATCTTATGATGCCTTGTCTTTTGACTAAGGAAAAAAAAATCTGAGGAACACCCATGTGGAGTCACATAGCTGTATTTAGGAAAGTAAAGATATTATATGGTACATGTCTATAATTTAGGGTATTTTATGGGTAGAACAAAGAATCCAGAAATTATTTGTACTCAGTATTATCCTCAGAGAGTCACAGAATGGTGGGACTGGAAGGTACTTTATAGATTATCAAGTCTAAATAATCTTATTTAACATGTGATTGGAACTTAAGTGGTTAAATGAAAGAGGTAAGGCTTAGGAGAGGGTTTAAATCTTTGGTGTCACAGTAATAATGTTCTCTTTCCACTCAACCCACTGACCGTTACTGATGGACATTTCTGTGTACTTAAATAGTGCTTGAGAGGCATTTTGCTAGTAGTTATTTGACTTGAACGAATTGTGTGTAGCTGAATTAACTGTTCCCATTTCTTTAATTAATATTTCACATTTGCTTTCTTTATCAAATATTAAAATAAAAATTCCATGCCCTATTGTGGTATAATCATAGAGATTATATAAAATACCAACATTGTATCTTATATTTTCTTCTAGCAAAGTAAATGAAGCAGTTAGGAAAGAATGCACTGTTTATCTTAAAAACATTTATGTAACTTGTGGTTTACAATCACTTAAAATATTTTGTATAAGAAATGTTTGGATTAATAAAGAATAACTTACCTTCTAGAAATGACCAAGTAAATTTTGAAATTTTAGGTCTACAAATCAAACAAGGTCTGGTAGGATTTTTATCTCCATCAGTGTAGCAGAGTCCATCAATAATGCAAACATTTTCCTAATGAAAATTTTAAAAATTTTTAAAGAAGGAAACACCAATCAAGATATAGCTATAGTAAGTATTTAGGGGGGAAAAACTGAACAAAAAAGAATAGTAGCATATATATTGATTATTCCAATGAAATCCTATTATAAATCTCTTTATACATTTTTTTTAAATTGATTTTTTAGACAGAGAGATAGAAACATCTTGTGAGAAAGAAATATCTATCAGCTGCTTCCTGCATGCCCCCCACTTGGAGATCGAGCCCATAGCTTGGGCATGTGCCCTGACTGGGAATCCAACCAAGATCTCTCAGTCCATGGGATGAGGTTCAATCCACTGAGCCACACCGACCAGGCTATGTAAATCTCTCTTGATTAAGAAATGTTTTTTTATATCTCCTAGTCATATGTGCATGCTAGAAAACAAATAACTTTCTTTATGTGTTAATGCTTATGGAATGAATCAGTATGGAAGAAATAAGATAATACATATAGTTGTATCTCTGCAGAATTATAACTATAGCTTATAAACACATGGAAGAAAATCTCTCTCTCTCGCTCGCTCTCTCTCTCTCTCACTGCTAAATCATGCTGGAAGTGCTTTATTTATATTTTGAAAAAGAAGAAAGACATAAAATGAAACAGACCCCCCCCCCAGCACATCTTATAGAATCACATTAGTTTATAGTTATCCTTTCTTCTAGGAGCCTACTATGTCCTGTGAACACAGCAGAACTAGACCAGACCTATAGCATAATTATCCACACATCACAATAGATACTACACAAAATAGTGGAAAGAGATGCTGACATGCACAGAGATAGTATTAAATATAACAATCATTTTTAACCTTGGAAGAAGAACAAATTTTGTTCAGCATATATAAATTTAGCTCACTTTAGATAATCTCCTAAAACATCATTTAGAACATTGCACAAAGAGTAAGTCCAAGAGGATAAAACAACCACAAATTACAACACTTCAGAAGTACTTATTGTAGGACATGTGGAAATGGAATATTTGAGGAAAAATAAAAATCAAACAACTTCTCCCAAAACAGAAACTTCTTATTGATATGATATAATTGTTAATCTCAAGGGAAAAAAAGATATAAACATTTTAAATAATAATACTGTTAATTTTTATATACATAAATATTATTTGATCTGCTCCTTGGTTTTGAAGAACCAAATGATTTTATATTCATGGCATCTTTTAAAACAGCAACTGACATGAGAGAGAGACCTGAGGACAAACCCAGTAGACCAGATATAGATAAGAGGGTGTGGCTGTGAGGATCAGGTCAGGCTGTGCTGTTCTTTAACCCTTCAAGTGGTAGGTATTTTCATGGTTCAGTTAATTTAGTTGCCACAAAAATTTCCTGTAAAAGTACCAGTCTTACACTTTTTACCAACTCTGCACAATGTGCATGCCACTTGCCACAAAGAGCATTAGGTAACAATGAAGTAATATCTTATTACTTTTGCCCTGGCCAGTTTGGCTTAGTGGTAGAGCGTTGGCCCAAGGATCAGTGAGTCGCTGGTTTGATTCCGGTCAAGGGCATGTACCTTTGTTGCAGTTCATCCTTGGCCCTGGTCAGGGTCGTGTGGGAGGCAACCAGTCAATGTGTCCCTCTCACGTCGATGTTTCTCTCTCTCTCGCCCTCTTTCTACCTTCTGCTCTATCTGAAGATAAATGGAAAAAGGGCCTCGGATGAGGATTAAAAAATAAATAAAAAAATTATTACTTCAAAAACTATGTAGAAGTGAAAATTCAATCTGAATCTCTTCTTTTGATTTTTTTAGTAATAAACAACCTGCTACTTTCAAATGTTAAAGGTAGAAACTTCTTTCTTGCCATTTAAAACAAGAGTTATGGGCAGAGTAACAAGTTTTCTTTTTTATGTTAAAAATTTTTTTTCCTTTATTGATTTGGAGAGAGAGAGACAGAGAGAAACATTGATGAGAAAGAATATCAGTTGGCTGCCTCCTGCGTGCACCTCACTGGGCATTGGGCTCACAAACTGGCCATGTGCCCTGACCGGGAATTGAACTGCTGGCGACCTATGGGTGCATGGGTCGACATTCAGCCACTGAGCCACAGCGGCCGAGCAGAGAGTAACAATTTTAATTAATCTTATATACACCTGAGAAGAGATTTTCTGTACTAGTCTTTCTGATATGAAGGTTTAAAAACTACATTAATACACCAACAGCTTGGGAAATGAAAATACCTATGGTGAAAAGTATGAAAATAAGTGAAAAGATACCTACCTTTATAGTACATGAGTCCTCCTCATAGAGACCACAAACTTGACAAGCCCCATCATATATGGTCAATATTTTGGGATTACTGAACCGATGGCCATCATTAGATACCTGTAAGATATAGTTCTGTAATAAGATAACTTGTTCTAAATGTAGCTTCATAAATTATAAAATTTTAATATATATTGACTTTATAAATATGAGAATATATTTTCTTTTTTACCTTTAATTGCCACTTCACAGTTGGTTTCTCGCCCATTAGATCAGTGGCACCAGATTGCTGGCCATCAGCAGGCAGCCGGCAATGAACAGTTCTGCTATTTTGAAAAACAGAATGTGCATGGATGGCTTCTCCAAGGACCCATTCACTGCTATTATACTGGAGGCAGAATGAGAAAGTAATTAACCTCTTTGCAAGTATTTTGCTAGTGACTTACATATAATCAAAATTACATACAAATAAAAAAAACATGTCTGGTATAATGAAATATATAATGGATAAATGAAAGTGTTAGTGATCATTTCTTTGAGAATAATTAAAAATGTATACATCTTTATTTGATTTAAACTGCCTCTAATCACTCAGGCATTTTTTACAGTTTAAATTAAAGTAGTTACCAATATTGACCATATATAATGGATCACTGTGTAATGACTTTTGTAGCAAGAGGAAACCCACTTGACTATGTAGTTGACACATAATGGATTGATTTTTTTTCTCTTGAAAAAAGCTCCCACTTTCTACTTCTACTTGAAACTGTCCATTTGGTCTTCCATCGAAGTGTTCCCACAGGACCTCTCGTGCTTTTGTATGAGACACCTCCCTGACTACACTTGACTGCTCCAGAGGTGGACTTAAGCTGAGCCAATACTTGGATTACATGGGACCTTTTAGGTTTTATTGGAGGGTGTTGGGCCAGTCTATCTCTGGTGCCTTGAGAAGCAAGATACAAACCTATGGAGCTGTTGGTGGCCATGTTTTTCACTATCTGGAAAAAGCCAGTATCTAGAAAAAGGGAAAAACAAAGCCCACAAACAGAGAAAAGCAGAACTGAGACAGATACATCACACACATACAAATGAGCGCATACTGTCTTCATAGTGTTAAAGTCCCAAGTTCAAGATTTCCCCTGAGAATTCAGCTATATTCTTATCCTTGATTCTGTGAGAAACATACTGTCATCATGATATACATCATTCTTGTTCAAGTTCAAGTGAATTTATGTAACTTTAAATAAATTCTAACAAATTTACTCTCTTTAATAATTCAGTGGTTGGGGGAGGGTAGGGGAGCGAAGAGATAAACCACAGAACTTATATGCATGTACACATAACTGATTGACATGGACAACAAAGCTGGTGACGGGGTGGGGAGGATAGGAGGAGGGTGTCAATGGGGAAAATAGGAGAAACATCTGTAACAAAAATAAGTAATAAAAAAAAGTATAGGGGTTATATACCCTGGCTCTGGAAAAATAATAATAATAATTCAGTGGTATATCATGCTTAACCTACACATTAAGTGTTATTCTTTAATAGTGAAAATGCATTGATGCCTAAAGAAGAAAATCCAGAATAGTTTTCCAAGTAGTGTTATCTACATAGAAAACTAATATAATATATTTTATTGCTAAAATTCAGATGTAGACTTTTTAAAAAGTTATGACTGTAGAATGCTTTCAGTCACTCAGAAATGGTCATGGAGCTTACTGATGCTTCAGTATTGTAGGTCAGTAAGAAAAGGAAAGGAAGGCAGGAACATGCTAAGCTGTGGCTAATAGAAGCTATCCGGCTAAAGATTTATAACTGAGAGTGGGCCTCAGTACCAGTCTCTGCAATTAAGGGAAAATACAGTCTGGCCTAGCAGATACATTGGTGGTTCCCCTCTAGCAGATGGGGATTGACAACAATATCTTGGGGGTAGTCATTGTATCAACACTTAGATGGATACAGGATCTCTTGCTTTTGTGTGTTGAAACAAGGCTCCAGCCAATGACTAGGATTACAGGGATTATTTCCACCCCTCTGAGGACCCTACCCAAACTGAGGAAAAAACAGGGTTTTATTTATTTTCTATTCATCAATATTTTGTGAATATCTGTATGTGCTGGGGATAGTCTTATGAAAAGAGATAACAGAGGAAATAGACAAATAAAACATTTTTATTATTGCTATAACCAAGATTTTTAAAAAGTATAATGAGAGATAAAGAAGACATTAAGTCTCATTAGAACAGTCAGGAAGGCTGTAAAATGAAAATGGCATCTTTCTTCCTGAAAATAAAAAAGAAGACTCTTTCATATTTGGACACTGGGAGCAGAAATGGAGGGTGCGGCTCAGCATGGCCTGAGGGAAAGCATGTGAAAGACCGGATGCTTGAATCGCACCGGATCTTGCTGTAAACGGTGAGGAGGTTCAAGTCTGCCAACAGGCCAGAGCCAGATCATCATGGGCTATTCCTTTCTAGTATAACAACTTGAGTTTAATCCTATAAGTAAGTAATTTAAAATGAGCTTCTGTAGAGTCCTGACCGCTTTTCCAGGAGGGAGTGAAGGAAATGATGGGGCGTTTTGATCTTTAGCTACAAACTTATTTAAAATTAGTACTGCAAAGGAAGAAAAAGAGTAACTATAATATGCTACCCTTCATGTAAAAGAGAAGGGATGTACCAAAGAAAATAGCAAGTACAAAAGAAAACAGGAAATAATAAGAGTGGATACCTTCAAGAGATAGATGGGAGTGTGATGGAAAGGAGAGGTAATGGAAAGAGGGAGGTAGGGGTGAGAAGATAGTGATATTTCCCTGTGTATACCTTTTGTATGACACCCAATCTTAGAATCATGATCATTCACATAGCTTTCAAATTAGTAAATAACTAAAATCAAGTAGAGTGTGGAGGAAATTAAAAATGGAATACACATATTTAAAAATAAACCTAATTGTATTAAAAATGAAATACATAAACACTGTGAACAGAGTGGACAAGGGAATAGCTAATCTATTTGGTTTTGGTTAGTGAACATATTTGTTTCTTTCTATAGCTCTGTATAGTGTGTTAGAAAATTCTCAGAGTGTACTCATTTATCAGATGTTTGGAGGAGGGATGTTGTATGAGAATAAATATCACAGCAAATAATATGTCTAAAAGTAAGTACAAAAAGTACTTTCCAAGAGAATATAAACTATACATTTTTTTGTTGGAAAATCACTTAATAGTAGTGTTATTGATTTATTCTGCCAAGAAAAATAAAATGTCTACTCTCCTGAGTGATATTGAAGAAATAAATTTATACATATGTTACATCACTATTGTGTTTTACTATTTCATTGGCATTAAAATATTTCATGGCTCATTTAGAAAGATTATACTGATAAAATCTTAAAATAAGCATATTTCTTGAGGATAAGTACTTGACAAAAACACATACAAAAGTTATTTCCTCCTATAAATTCTCAGTCTCAGAATCACATTTGGCTTCATCAATTTGGGGGAAAAAATAAAAAGAACATTAAAATATGATTTGCTGTTTTCCGTTTTCAGCTTACCCATGTAAATACTTTTTAAATTCAAAGAGCTTTTCTTAAAGTAAAATTTTACTTGAATAAAGAAAAATAAGACTATATAAATACCATTTAAAAATAAGGTAAAATTTGATGTACCAGTATTCAAGCTGAGTGATCATATCTGTCTTTTGTGGCCTCAAGAAAGAAAAACACTGTTTGTTTGTAATTTTCCGGTATGACACCCACAACCAGGGAAATATAAAGGGTGAGTAGTTTGTGAATGGAATTGTTCCTATCTATGTATTCTATAATTCATGCAGGATGTCTTAAATTAAAAATGATCTCCACTCTTCATGTTTTTATATTATAAGAAGCTTACACATCAATCTTATTATGACTGAAATAGTGAGCCAGTACCTCAATAAAAACTGTTTAAAATAGTTAAATACAGTTAACAAATAAAGAATCTTGACGGTTAACTAACGTAATAATTTTTCTGTTCAAATGTGGATATGACTTCCTTTGGAATTGTGTTGATAAATGATACACTAAATTAATCCAAAATAAAATTAATCTGAATAACTCATAAACTTAATTGTATTTCAGCTCTGTAGTTAACATACCTGCAGTTTAGTAACTTCACATTTAAATGAAGGTGATTCTTTGAAGCCTTGACCAAAAACTCTCACCACCATACAATTGTGTTTTTGAACATCACAGAATCCAGCATTCTCAAGCTCTATAATTTCAGGAGCCTTGTCTTTGGAAAAGATCATTAAAGAATAAAACATATTTTCTTTATTTTCAGATAAAATCTAATAATTTTCAAGACCCAAATTCAAAACATGTAAAATAACATTTCACAGTCTATCCCAAATATTATTCAGGACATTAATTAAACTATTAAATGTTAAGAGTGATCTACATTAAGAGAAATGTTATCTACTATCATCAAACCAATAAAAATATTTGTATAGATACTACCAGTCCCTAAATATGCAAGTGTAATTAATCTTGACATCAATGAAGGGCTAGTATTAAGAAATTACTACTGTAATGGCCTGTAATTTGGTTTTACCATAGAGATGGGTTATAGGAAAATACGTTTGTAATAAAATAATGTAGTGTATTAAAATTTTTTGAATCATTAATTTAAGCTTTTGCAAGAGTTGTCAAAATTTACGTATGCTACCATTCTAGTATTATTGATATTTTTGTGTTATTGCTATTTTACATGGTACCATAATCTTAGATGTACTTCTCAGTCATAGAAGAAAAAATTTCTTCTAGCAGTCAAAATTAATTGACCTTTATATGGTTATATCTCTGGTCTTGGTAAGATCATATATTATCTATATAAAGTAAGGTCTGGTTTCAAAATACATAAATACAGTATATAAAAGTAATATAGTATTTTGTCTAAGTACTGGCAAAATTCAAGCAAATATAACTTTACTAGCAATAAGATATAAAATCATAAGTTTTTTGTACTCAGAGCTCTAAAAATATTTACGAAATTCTTAAAATGTTAGTTTATTCTTTTATATATTCAACAAAGGACTACTGAGCAACTTTTATTTTTCTGGTGTTGTTCCAGCTATAGAGGATATAGTAATGAACAAAACCAAGTTCTTGCCTTCATGTAATTTACATTCTAATATGGGAATACAAGACATAAGTGAAAAAATAAAAATAAAGTGTATTACATAAATCTATTAAAATTAAAGTGCATTACATTCATGTCTATGGAGAAGGAAGTCAGTCATGAAGATGTGTGGTGGAAGAAAGCTGCAGTTAGAGGGATCTGCTAGTCCAAAGGTCCTGAGGTAGGAAAAGGCTTGACTGTCCTCTTTGATAAATAGCCAACAGCCACTTGAGAGCACTGGAGAGCAGTGAGTTATGGAGAGAATGGTAGATTTGGTGAGAGAGAAGCCTCAGATTATGTAGGATCTTCTTGGCCACGGTAGGGATTGTGGATTTTACTGGGAAGGAGATGGAGAGCCATTCGAGGGATTTAAGCAGAGGAGCAACATGATCTGACTTATTTCAAAGGGACCACTTTAGCTGCTGAATGGAGAATAAACTTTGAGAGAATATATAATAATCCAGGTAGAAGATAATGGTGACTTAGGCTGAATTTGTAGCAGGGAAAGAGAGAAAAGTTGTTTGAAGCTAGAGCTGGATTGGCTAATGAATTTGTTAATGAATTAACTAATGGATAAACTTGAGGATGAAACATGAGGCATAAGAGAAAAAGAAAAGTCAGAACTATAAATTTTTAATGTGAACAATTGGAGGAATGAAGTTTGCATTTACTGAGAGAGAAAAGTCTGCAGCCAGAAAACGGCAGGACTGTGGCGGTGGGAGGAGTGTCAGGAGCTACCGGTTTACTGGTTGATGGAATCAAATTGACTTTAAAAACTTCTTTCTCTAATATAGTGGGAGAAAATAGCTCCATGTAGATGGGTTAGAGAGAAAAATTCAGCAAGTTAGTATAATTAGCAAAATATTATAAACACAATGCTTAAAAATACTAAATTTGAGTTCTAGAAAAATGTATTATCTGCCAATAGAGGGACCAGCTGTGTGCAAGTCCCCGAGGTCAAGAGAACCTGGCATTTTCAGGGACTAGCACAGAGACCAAAGTGGCTGGAAGGGAACGAGTGAGGGCGATAACAGTACGGGATGAGTTTGGACAGATGTTGTGTATCAGATCACATTGTGCCTTATAAGCTATTATAAGTGCTTCAGCTTTTACTCTGAATAAGACGCGACACTTGTAGAAAATCAATAATGTATTATTTAACATAATTTGCTTTCCCCTATATTATCTGAACAACCCTGCTAAAAGTACTGAAGGTAAAGAAGAACAAGGATATTTTCATAATCAAATAACATTCACAATATCGCAGTGGAGAGTATTACTTACCCTGTGAATCACTGCAGTCATAGGACCTAAAGCCTGGGGAACATATGCACCCCCAGTGCATACACTGCCCATTGCCACTGCAAAAATTGGGGCATTTCAATACCAAGAGAATGTCTTCAATTGATTTGCCGTATTCTTCTGTGTTATAGTTCGCCTCTTCCAAAATCCTCCTTTCACATTCATTTTCTAAAAGGGCCACACCTGCTTCTGCCCAGCTAAGATCATCTTTTAGGAGAACATCCTTAACACACATAGCTATAACACTGCCCAGTGTCTTGCCAAGAAAGGTGAGGCAATGCTTTCCTATGCTGGAGTTGGCTAGAGTCTGCTGGCACAGTGCCAACGTGCTGTACTCTGTGAGGCCAGAGGGTGTGGGCCACGTGGGAACCAACTCTTGTGGGATATCCTCAGTATGGTCCTCGGGGAAAAAATAAGTAAATTCTTCCAGCTTACTCTGGCTGAGACTTTGGAAAGCAAACAAAGGAAGGAACTCATAAAAGTTTTCCCGTTTCCATCTGTTTTGGCTGTGGCTAACCTGGTCCCGTGAGTGTGTCCTATTGTCCAACGTTTTTGGTGCATCTTGTTTCTCATTCTCAGGATATTTTTGTAAATTTAAGTCCAGTTTGGTTAGGTTCACCGGATTTTCTTCTTGAGAAAAGTAATTCCAATTATTTTCTTCTTGAGATGTTTGTTTGCTTATCCCTCTGAGAAGAGCTTCTGGATTAATATATTTAGAGGTGATATCTAGTTCTGGTATTAAGGAAGAGAATTTAACATGTGTGAGGTCTTTGCAGTTTGAAACCGTGTCTGATTGAGAAACACTGTCCAGCTGGTTAGAAGATGGATACAGTGAAGTGGTGTCCAAGGAGCAGCTGCAATAGGATTGCTTTCCAGGTGATGGCAGAGAAGTTGGCATTATGTCAAACATGTTTTTTCCGGGCAAAATCCTTCCAGATGGAAAACAAGAAAGAACAGTAATTTGGACAAAAACATTTTCCCCTCAGTAAGGTATTGCACAAAAAGCAGAATATTGAGTCAACACTCATTTTAAGTCAAATATTAGTACAATAACAAGTGAGAATAATTTACTTTCTTACCTCCATTCATTAATAAAAGCAACACAATTATTAAAAGTTTGATCAATTTCGATCCCATTTTTGTCATGGAAATCATTTTCGGGGTTTTCATCAAAGGTGCCACAAAGTCCTAAGGTGTTTCTGTAATCTAAACTAGGGGCCCTGATTGTTAAACTCATGCCCCATTCACCAAGATCGGCACGGATAAACGCTCCAGAAGAAAACCAGATCTGAAATACAGAAATGAGTCATTTAGAATAATATTCAATATAGATTAAGAAAAAAGTAGTCTTTAAAAAGTAAGAAACAAATTCATTTATTTTCTCAATATAAAAGGAAAATAAAATATTGATTATCCTTAGGCTACACTTTTTTGTTTTAATACCATATGTCAAAATAATGGGTTTTGCATTTTGCGGTCTTGAAATTTGATCTCCACCTTGATCCTTTTATTGAGATATTTTGTTCAAACATCTTTCTTTAAATAAATTAAAGAAAGTGAGACATTTTATACAATTAAAGCCGCTATACATGTTGAAAATAATGTTTACCAAGTGATGCCTCTGATAGTAATTATTTGATATTGACTTAGACTGCCGAGTAATTGATTTACATATATAAATGTAATTCCAGAAGGGTACACATTCCTAATCAGCATTCTCTTGCTGCCAGTAGGCAGATAGAATTGGGAGCCAAATTATAATCAGAATGTTGCTTGGGGAGTTGGGCAGGAGAGCAGGGGTTTGTTGAATCATCCTGATAGTCTGCGTCATCCTCCCAGGAGTATCGCACTCCAGACCAGGGACTTGGGTGTACATGTTGAGAACCCCTCTCTTATAAAAATCATTGAAAACACACCACGTGTGCTGCTCCCCTGACTCTACTTTTTCTTTTAATTTTTTTAGATTTGAAAATTGCATTTTTTATTTTTAGAAAAAATGGTAAGTGTTCACAGAAAATTATTTTTAAAAGCAAGCCAGTGTCATATCATTACTCAATCTGAGGTAGCTAATGTTAGGATCTTGGTGCATATTCTTTGAAAACCTCTCCTGTATTTCATTAATTTATTTTCCTGTCAATAAATACACAGCTACTCCAAAATTTTCATGACTACAAAGCGTTCACTATATGACATTGCTATATTTACAGTTTTGGTTAAACTCTCTTATTCATCACTGATTAATTGTAACTTTTCCCTCTTAAAAGGAGAGATACAATGAACATCGCTGGTGTTGTGCACGTCCTTAATTATTTTATTATGATATGTTTTCAGAAGTAAAATTTCTTGAAAATTGATATGTATAAGTGTATATATGATCTCTGGAAAGTTATACTACTTATTCTTGCCAATATTGTATGCGAAATGTATGCTCTGCATTTCTTTGATTATAATAAAGTTGAAGTTTTTATATTTTCATTGGTTATTTGAACTTGGGCATATTTATCAATTTTATTTCCCTTATGAATTGCCTGTTTATATTATTTACTCATTTTGATTGGAGTGCTGAGCATACATAAGTAATGCATGTTAATGACTATGTAATTTTTCATGTTTCTTGATTTTCTAATCTATTCCATGTATCTACCAGCCTATTCCTGAGGCAGATCCATCTGTATTCATTTCAAAAATTGACTAGCTATTCCTGAATATTTAGTCTTAATTATATACTTCATATCTATCTAAAAGCCATTATTAGGCACTGCCCAAAATATTTTTAAAATATCTACCAAGTTATCATATTGAAATCTTAAATAAGAAAGTTTAGATTTGACAGTTTTAACTATTATTGTCTGTGTGTGGCAAATGAAAAAAATTTTACTTCAAAATCAGTGTTAATCTAAATATTGTTTTCTTGAAAAGTAAAAATCCCTAATGTTGAAAATTATAGTTTTTAATTTAATAGAGATAAAAAGAAATTCAGAATAAATCCAAAATCTGTAGAGAAATGAAAAAATACTTTAAATTATAATCATACATACTGTGACTTTTCTTCCTAAGTAAGATTCACTTATCCTGATATTACTGGTGTTATCTTGGCTCTTTAGAAACAAATAGGGCTGTGATTCCTGTAGCTGACCACCGCACATATCAAAAGTAACCACATCACCGTCTTCTTTGGCAACAAAGCCGCAGTTACATGACACAGGATGGTGAAGGCTTCCACAGTGCCATTGTCGTACATGGACTTCAAAATCGCGTGATGTGCTCTTATAAAGCACAAATGTTCCAGTCTTGAAATTATCATATGCCCTATCATTAGCAAAAGTCAATTGCATTAAGAATTAGTATAAAGTATTACAACAGTATGTTATAAACCAAAAATGTGTGCTAAATGTATTTATATGCATTCAGTATACTTTGTTGCAAGAATGAAAAACACCTATATTTCTGATAGGTTTAGATATCATGATCATTTTTCGTAGGGCACTGAAGGAAACAAGTAGTGATAACACCCAGTCTCTCTCGCTATTCTTCTACCCTTACAGCCCTTCTGTCAGTCCCTGCTTCTAGCATCTCTTTCCACCCCGCTTTACTTTTCTTCATAACCCGGTCTTCTCAGATACGCCTTATTAACTGTGTGTATCTCTTCACCTATACAGAGGTAAGTTCCATGAGGGCAAGGCAGCGGTTCTCAACCTGTGGGTCGTGACCCCTTTGGGGGCCAAACGACCCTTTCACAGCGGTCGCCTAAGACATAACAGTAGCAAAATTACAGTTATGAAGTAGCAACAAAATTAATTTTATGGTTGGAGGTCTCCACAACGTGAGGAACTGTATTAAAGGGTCACGGCATTAGGAAGGTTGAGAACCACTATGTCTGTCTGTCTGTCTTATCACTGCCATACCCCCCACCACTTAGAACATGATTTGTCACTTAGTTTTTGCACAATTAATCTTGTTGGATTATAATGGATTAAATTAGTCACCACTACGATTTCCTGAGGTTTCTCAAGTAAAACATCTAAGTTTTTAATTATTACCATAAAGGATTCTTGCGTGTGGAATCAGTTTCTACAACTTTTCATACTTGTTCAAACTTTTGGAGTATCATTCGTTATTGGAGAGGATCTGCATCTGCACTAATATTGAATAATTTTACTGACAATGCTCACATTGTTATTTTTTAAAAGAATAAATTATTTTGCATCATGAAGAAAAGTTTGAGTCAACAATGAAGTATTCATATCATTTTCTTTAGGAACATCTTTTTTTTTTTAAATTTTTTATCCTCACCCGAAAACATTTTTTCGATATTTTGTTCAGATAGAGTGGGAGGAAGAGAGAGAGAGAAACATCGCTGTGAAAGGGACACATCGAGTGGTTGCCACCTACACGACCCAACCAGGGCCAGGGACAAACTGCAACTGAGGTACGTGCCCTTAGCGGGGACCGAACCCGGGTCTCTTCGGACCGCAGGCCGATGCTCTAACTGCTGAGCCAAACTGGCCCGGGCTCTTTAGGAACATCTTAAAATCATTAATTCCCCAGAACACTATAACTGAATGTAAATCTTTTGCAGATGTTAGTGGTAAGATAGCTTACGTTTCTTTGGTCATTTTGTCCATTTTACTTTAAGTCCCAGAGGCAGCTATCCAGGTATTCGTGATGACTACAGTAGATTTTCCCCTGAGTATTCTAGCCATGTATTGAAGTGAGATTTTTAAAAAATTATCATGTATTAGTTAAACCATCCTACCTTAAACCTTAAAAATCATTTCAGGTCCTGGCCAGTTTGGCTTAGCGGTTAGAGCATCAGTCTGTGGTCTGGAGAGACCCGGGTTCGGTTCCTGCTAAGGTCATGTACCTTGGTAGCAGTTTGTCTCCGGCCCTGGTTGGTCGTGCGGGTGGCAGCCACTCGATATGTCCCTTTCATGTCGATGTTTCTCTCTCTCTCTCTCTTCCTCTCTCTCCCTCCCACTCTATCTGTACAAAAAAAGATGGAAAAGTGTCCTCAGGTGAGGATAAAAAAAAAAAAATCATTTCAGTATCACACGGAAATGCAATACAGTATATATATATTGCTAGGGCAAAATAATATTATTTAAAATAAATAGTCAAGATAAAATGATTGTATTTGTAAGAATCTTCATTTTAAAATTCGACTTCACAACTAATTCATATATTTACTAAGAACTAGATTTCAAAGAAAAAGCATTCTACATAAATAAATTAGTATTTTGAAATAAGCCAGTAATGTCCATATCTGCCTTTCTTTTGTATCTTTCTGTGAGTAGGACTAATGAATAATAACATACTATGATGTTTTTTAAAAAATCCCAAAGAAACACAAACTATTAAAAGAAAAAACTTTGAGGAAATTACCTGCCATCAAATGTAATTATATGTGGGTCAGTAAATGAATAGCAGTAAGCAGTTGGGACATCCTTTACTCTGATCTTAAAAGCAAAAATATTTTCAATAAATGTTATTATTAATTGTTATTTAGTATGTATAATAGATCACTTAGAAATCTCAGAAAATTTTAAATTATGTTATCAGTTATTAAAAATAAGGTCATTTAAAAATTAAAATAACATTTTAAAATTTTGAAATGAAAAGTTTTCAAGGTATAGTAATAAAATATACATAGCATTTTTAAAGCTTCAGTTATGAAAGTACTTTTGTGATTTGTCACCTGGATGCTGTCTGGAATGTAACTGTTCCACAGGAAATCCTCATTAACTACAGGTTCCACTGTAATGTCTGTAATTCTATTTCCATCGCGAGAAAAGTCTGTTACAGCAGTGTAGTACACAAGAGCCTGGCTACAGGTTCCGTTAGCACAGGACGAAGTCTGGGGAAGGTCCACATGACAGGAAGACAGGGCCAAATTTAACCCTAGCTGTTCTTTACCTATGTTATAAAAAAATACATTGAGCATTTTTCTGAGGGTATATATCAACCAAAGCATGTAATCAGTTGATTAACATGGAACATTACATTGAGAGATTATTCTTAAATTGCTTTTCCTTACTTAAAATATATGGTTATAATTTTTGTTTAAATAAAAGCAAAACTGTTGAACTCTTAGCTTGAACTTTTAGCATAACTTATCACCCCTTACTCATAGATATGATTTGGGAAATCTTAATATTTTTTCTGAAAACAAAGCAAAGAGTAAACAGGAGGTGAGAAAAAGGAGGAGAAGGAAGAGAAGAAAAAAGGAAGAGGTAGTGGAGAAAGGGGGAGGAGGAGGAAGAGGTGGATATTGTTAATTATTTTTTTAATTTTTACTTTGACCCCAGAGGGATAAATGTGGATTGCTCTGGCAATCATAAATTTGCTTCAGAATTATTAATATGATTGAGCTATAACTTGATGTAAACATGCAACAGAATGAATTAATATGAGTACACTTTAGTGATTTTTCTAGTGGAAAAAGCATTTGTTACTATTTTAAATCTAATCATAAAATGGAATGAATTTAGCATATTACCTTGATTGACCGTCTTCAGTTTTAGTGAGATTTTGCATTCCGGATCAAGCTCACTGAATTTAGAACAAACAACAGGAATTGTGCTCTCTATCCTCAACTGGTATGCTCTTCCATCTTCTGATATAGTGCTCAATTCAGGTTTTAACTGGTTCGAGAAAATATGTAAACCAGTCATGTAGAAGTAGAATTTATTCCTATGATATAATAATTTTGAAAGGGTGTTTTTTTCTCAACAGGGTATATTTTGCTAAATTAACTGGTAGTAGTAACTAAAGCACGGGAATTTTTTAATTACACAAGATCAATTAAACCCAAACCCTGAAAAACAAACATCAGCAGCACACCGAAGAATACATGGAATTGCTGTACTGCTCTGAGTTTGGTTATTTGGTTGTCCAGTACATGGTAGTCAGTCGGGCTGGAGCCTGACTTAGTGTTGGTTCTGTGGTGGGCACGGGGGAATGGAGGAGACAGAGATTCCTACATCCTTCCACACACTGGTAGATTAATATTATCCCTAATATAAATTTGAAATCTAAGTATTTTTAACACATAAATCAAAACATTACTGTCACTTAAAATATCTCAACCTTCAGCTTATTTCTCAGCCTCTGCTTTCCAGAGTTGAAGATACTGAGTACTGCAATCTAGGACTGGTCCTATAGTTCAATACGCGAATCCTTTTTTGAGGCAGGAAGGTTTTATGAAGTCTTGGTTCTTGGCTAGCTTTCAAAACAGATGGTTCTTAGTACCAAATACTCTCAGTGTTTACCTAATCAGAAACAGTCACTGGAGGCTGCTTGTCCTCATAATCTACTGAGTTCTCACCAAAGTAGATCCAAAGGTTCCATGTTCCCAAGGTCTGAGCTCTATTTCCCCTCTCACTCTGGCGATGCTGTGCTGCTAGAATAGCTCATCAGTTCTTTTATTTTTATTTTTTTACATTATTACCTTTATTTATTTTAAATTTTATTTTTGTTACAGATGTTTCTCCTTTTTTACCCCATTGATACCCTCCTCCCCATCCCCCCGCCCCATCCCCGGCTTTGTTGTCCATGTCCATTGGTCATGCGTACATGCATATAAGTTCTGTGGTTTATCTCTTTCCTCCCCCCACCACCTCCTCTCCTGAGGGTTGTCAGTCTGTACCTGACTTCCATGTCTCTGGGTCTACCCTATTCCTCAGACTGTTATGTTCATTATATTCCATAAATAAGTGAGATCATGTGGTATTTATCTTTTTCTGCTTGGCTTGTTTCACTTAGGATAATACTTTCCAGGTCTTTCCATGTCGTCTCAAAGGATAAGAGATCTTTCTTCCTTACAGCTGCATGGTACTTCATTGCTTATATCTACCACATCTTTTTTATCCATTCGTCTACTGATGGACACTTGGGCTGTTTCCAGATCTTAGCTATTGTAAATAGTGCTGCTATGAACATGGAGGTACATATATTCTTTCTGATTGTTGTTTCAGGCTTCTTAGGGTATATTCCTAGAAGTGGGATCACTGGGTCAAATGACAATTCAATTTTAATTTTTTGAGATAACACCATAGTGTTTTCCATAGTGGCTGCACCAGTCTGCATTCCCACCAGGAGTGTACCAGAGTCCCCTTTTCTCCACACCCTCGCCAACACTTGTTGTTTGATGATTTGTTGATGGTGGCCATGAACCTCTATGCTACCAGCAGTGACCATAAATATTGCCTGTTTAGAGAGTGCAATTTTTAAGATTCATAAAGTCCATATTTTTGGGCCAATTTTACTCTAGCCAGAGGCTGTAGTACTTGACCCTGGTGTCTGTTTTCCAAAATGCGTAATAACTAAATATTGATCTTCTAACTTTTATTTACACAATGGAATAAATTATGAGTATAGGACATGTGGTTTATTTTAATTTGAGCTATTTCTGAAAAAAAAAATGCAAGTACATTTCAACTTTAATTCATTAACAGGGGCCCTCAAACTTTGCTGTGCATTCAAATTATTGGTTTTTTTTTTTAAATACAGGCTCTTTGGTCCCAACATCAGTCTGTGAAGAGGTTCTATAACCAGCATCCACAAATCACAGTATGCAAAACACAGTTCCAAAGGATTAATTTTTCTGATCCATCCCCACTGCTACATACCTTAATGCCTGCAAAAAATTCTTGGCTTTCAATGGCTAAACTTTTTACATGTGGTTTCTTCAAGAAAAATATGGAAGCCATGCAGAATATCTATAAATACAGTTAACACATAATCATTTGGCAATAACATCATGAAGAAAATATGTGTAAATTATTATATTTATGAACTTAATTTTAATTTTTGGTAGATGACAATTAAGAGATAATTAAAAGCCTGCTTAAAATTGAGAAAAATTCCATCTTTATAAAATATTCAAACCTCAATAGAATTAAAGTGTTGTAGACTTTGTTTTTAAGATATATTGAAAAGTGGATAATAAGTGATATCATCATTGAAAAAAAGAAAATATTATTTCTAGAATAAAAGTATATCATTTTAAGACCAGAAAGAGACATTAAGTTACAAGGTTTCATCAATAATAATCAGCAAATTGCTAGAAGCAGATACTCATAGTTACCACTGGAGTTGGACAATTACCAAGGAAAAAAGAAAAAGTAAAACATTAGTGCTTTATATTATGGGAACAAACATTATTTTTAGGATATGATTTAAAAATCCAGTTTGGCAAGTTAATACATCATGAAAAGAAAAGAAAACCCAAACTGAACATACCCTATCTCCGAGTCTGAGATTTATGCCATCCAGTTCTAGAAGAGAGTAGGCCCGAACTGTGGTCTCTTGCTTCAGCTCCTCTTTGACTTCTTGAGAAGAAAGCCTAGACCAAGCTATGATAAATCCCACTGAGTTGTTTGTAGGGGGAACATCAAAAGCACACCTACAGAAAACCCGGGACTCAATCAGCTCCACCACAACCTCTGGCCTTCCTGGAGGTGGTGGTGTCAATGAAGCAGACAGCTGACCTGATGGGAGAAAATGCATAATTTGTAGTTGGACGTCTTTAAAAAATGGAGACCAGCTTAAGGGAAAAGCTCACAAAGACTGTATCTGAGGGATTTATATTAAGAGAAAATAAAATACATTTTTAAAAATAATTAATATCTAGCAGTCAGCAAAGTAGCACATTCTTATTTTGATCCATAATAACATAAATACTGATAGCAGAGAAATTCATCAGCTAATCAAGCTTATATTAATGTATTTTGAAAAGTTTAGCTCTTGAATAAAGAAGTGAATTTACCTTCTATTCATCTATTACCTTTTCTAAAAGATAGGATGAACAAAAAATTATGGTATTCTACATTTTAATTTCTTGTTATAAGGAAAAATAGTTACTATAATGTAAAATCAAATGACTTGTTATTTTACTCTTATAATTTACTCTTGTAACTCAACATGTCACTCCTCTGGGTTGAAAGAACTGTTCCTTACGGGAGTGATTATACTGTCTTCGTGAAATATACCAGTGTTGAAAAATAGTCTTATTCTTTTCATTTTTCTGAGGTTAAAAATGATTGAAGATTCCTCCAGGAACTCAGAGAGATTTTATAATTTTTATCTGTGAACATTTGCAAGATTAAACCTGGGAATCTAAATGTTCCTAAATAAGTTTTAAAATTTGATTTGTTGTTTTAGAAAACAGAACAAATATCTGAGTGACAAATTTAAAAATAAGATTTTTTTATATGTCCTAAAATGTACAGACTTTTTCTATGGTATACATAGTAATTTTTTGATAATTAATATATTAATTTTCAGTCTTATAATACAGATTTTGAAAAATTCCTAGAAACCGCCCTGACCAGTTTGGCTCAGCGGTTAGAGCGTCGGCCTGCGTTCCGGAGAGACCCGGGTTCGGTTCCCGCTAAGGGCACGTACTTCGGTTGCAGTTTGTCCCCGGCCCTGGTTGGTCGTGCGGGTGGCAGCCACTCGATGTGTCCCTTCACGTCGATGTTTCTCTCTCTCTCCCTTCCTCTCTCTCCCTCCCACTCTATCTGTACAAAAATGGAAAAATATCCTCGGGTGAGGATAAAAAAAAAAAAAAAGAAAAATTCCTAGAAACCTTAACCTAAATGTGGGGAAGGAACCTTAGTACTTTCAAATATTTTAAAATGTTATTTTGTTATATATCTGATTATAAAACCCCAATAACAAATCAGTTGTTTTCAAATTAATCTAAATAATAAATATTTTGCTAAACATTTTAAACATGAGGCCAAACCATCATATTAAGACTTGAAGGAAATAATAGACTACTAATGAGTATGTATTGATTTTTTTAAAAAATGTATCTGAGCCTTGGCCTGTTTGGCTCAGTGGACCAATGAGTAGTGGGTTTGATTCCAGCCAAGGGCACGTATCTCAGTTGCAGTTTGTCCCTGTCCCTGATTGGGGTCATGTGGGAGGCAACCAGTAGATGTGTCCTTCTTATGTTGATGTTTCTCTCTCTTTCCCTTTCTCTCCCTCCCACTTTAACTGAAGATAAAGAGAAAAATATCCTTGGGTGAGGATTAAAGTAAACAAACAAACAAACAAACTAACTAACTAACTAAAAAACATATCTGAGTAAAAACTATCTTAAATAAACTAAGAAAAAGTTGAATTTATTTTTAAACAGAAAAACTATCTATAGGCCCTGGCCGGTTTGGCTCAGCGGTTACAGCATCGGCCTGCAGTCCAGAGAGACCCGGGTTTGATTCCTGCTAAGGGCACGTACCTTGGTTGCAGTTTGTCCCTGGCCCTGGTTGGGTCGTGTGGGTGGCAGCCACTCGATGTGTTCCTTTTGCGTCAAAATTTCTCTCTCTCGCTTCCTCCCACTCTATCTGAACAAAATATGGAAAAATGTCCTCGGGTGAGGATTAAAAAAAAAAAAAAAATAAAAATAATTGTTAGGAATAAGAAATATAAATCAAGAAAAAAGTAAGTAATTTATAAAAATTAAATGTTTTGAATTAATATTTTAAATAGCATTAACTATCTGGGTGAGCTGATCATTGCTTGAAACAATGCAAATCAAAGAAAATTTGTTAAAAAAAAGTTAAAGTTTTCAAAAATGACATGTAAATTATTTCTGCTTGAAAAGCACAATTCATAGACAGCAGTATGATGATTACCAGAGGGCAAGGGGGCAGGTAGGAGAGGGTAAAGGGAGGATAAAAGGTGATGCAAGGTGATTTGCCTTGGGATGGTAAACACACAGTACAATATACAGATGATGTATTATAGAATTATACCCCTGAAACCTATATCATTTTATTGACCAGTGTCACCCCTATAAATTCAATAAAAAAAGAAAAGCACAATTATTACTGCCTTGTCAATTCTACTATTAGCATATGCTAAATATGTTACTATAGTCTCTATTTTATCATAAAGCTATATCTGTTGACTTTCGATAATTTTATGCAAGTGTTACTTGCCCAAGCTATGTATGATTTTGAATAGCATTTATTTTAGTTAATTGCATAAACATTCTGAATAGCATAACAAGTAGCTTAAATTTATTGCTTAGTCAAGGAAGAAAAGTGATTTTACTACAATATATATGTATGATAAAGATAATCCAAACCTATTATGCAGAATAGCCAAACAATTATACACTATAGTTAAAATTACTATTATTAGAAATATTATTTTATTCTATTAAGAACTTAAATCACAGGGTCTAATTTCACTGAGAATTTCAGATGAAATACTAGAAAAGGAGACTGAAAATCCTTTTACAGCTAGAATAGGGCACAGAAAAGCAAGTCAGTATTTATTTTGAGGATTATGATAGCAATATTATTTAAAGACAAATCATATTTGATTTTTAGGTATGGTATCTAAGTATTATATAATCTATTCTAATTTGTTTTATGTCATTATGGCTTATTTCACCATAAAATATTTTTGTTAATTATATGTCAACAATCCCACATTCATTTAGAATATTACATCTGGCCAACAGTTTCCAGGAAAAGTCTCATGTTTCAATTAATAATTTTTATTTCTGCCCATCCTTTAGGAAGATGTCATTAATTTTATTAGACAATCTATTTAGAGTCATTTGTCTTAAGGAATATTATAGCAGGGGGTTTCATGATATTTGACATAACTTTAAAAATTTTAACTAAGAAAATGAAAAGTACAGATTATAAAGAGGAGAAAAATTATGACCACCATGAACACTTTTGGTGTTTATCTTTCAAGACTTATATGGTACAAATGCAATCATTCCCAGAAGACAAAAATGAGATTGTGGTGCATAACCTGATTTCTTATTTTCAATATACCATGAATGTCTACTAATATCAAAGAATGTAGTCTTGCATTTATATTGTTTACAGAATATTTTATCATTATGGTACATCAAAAATATTGAATCAACCAGCAGTTATTGAATAGTTGCAGCTGTTTTATATTGTTAGAAAAATGGTGCCCTGGTGGGTTTGGCTCAGTCTCTGGTTAGATGACCACTCTTCAGACCTGTGGACCAAAGAGTCTCTGGTTAGATTCCCAGTCAAGGGCACATATCTGGGTTGCAGATTCTATCCCTGACCCCAGTCGGGGTCGTGTGGGAGGCCAATCCATGTGTCTCTCACATCGATATTTCTCTCTCCCTTCCTCCCTCCAACTCTATCCAACTCTATTTAAAAGTCAAAAAAATATCCTTGGGTAAGGATTTAAAAAAAAAGAAAAAGAAAAATGCTGTTGTAAAAGTTGTACCTGCATGCTTCTTTAAACATATCTCTAAAAGAGATTTTTGGAAGTCAAAATGCTATGGACAAATGCATGTGGATTTTTAAGACTGTTGAAATAAATTGCCAAATTTTCTCATAAAATGACTCTACCAATATACACACATCTGTAGGGTATGAACATGCCCAATTCTGTACCTTTCTGATTCCAACGCTATTTCTTAAAGGTATGATAAAGTGACTTTTATTTTTGATATCCATTGGACTGGGGTTGTAAAATGTTAGCATAATTCAACATCTAAAATAAGTCACAGAACCTAAAAGCCTGTTGAAATTATTAGTTTATAAATACATTATTAAAAATAAAATCTGATACTTACGAACACAGTCACCTTCAACTTCGATTTCATCAGAGCTGCATGGGTGTGATTTTGCATCAGAAATAGCTGCAAAAGGTTGAGGTTTTTATATTATTCAGTTGAGCATGAAGATATAAATATATTTATATATGTGATTGATATATCTGAGATGACAACTCTTCAGAGAAGTATGTTTCAGTGCAGATTAAAATTTATTTGTTTTCTTTTTTCATAAGTTGTTTTTCCTTTTTCAGGATGAGATCAAATAGAGATAACTTGGGACGTATTTTGAAACAATTATAACTCATATCTTTTTTTCTAAATTTTAGTCTGCATTAAGTAATGAAACATTACAAACTTCAGAAATTGGGTATCAGTTCCTTGGGAATTGCCTTCCCATAATCATGTTTGGGATTACAGAAATGAGTCAACAGCTGTCATGGTGATACTTATAAATCCAATGCCAATGTTGGTTTATTTCTGGACTGTCTATTGCTTTCCATTGATCTATATGTCTATCTTGATGCTAACATAACAGTTTGTAGATTTCTTTAACTTTAAAATAAGTCTCAAAGTCAGATAGTGTAAATTGTCCAACTTTTTTCCTTGTCAAAGTAATCTGAGGATTATAGGTACTTTCTATTTTTATATAAATTTTAGAATGAACTTATCAGTTTCCACACACACACACACACACACACACACACAAGGCTTGCTAGTGTGGTGAAGGCCTGGGGGGGGGGGGTCAGTGGGGGAAAGGGGGAGGGATATCTGTAATACTTTCATCAATAAAGATAAATCTTTTAAAATGCTTGCTGGAATATTGATTAGGACTGTTTTAGAACTATAAATCAATTTGAAGAGAGTTAACATCTTAACATTTGAGTCTTCTGATTTCATGAATATGGTTTATTGCTCCATTATTTTAGGATTTCTATGATTCCTGTTAGCAAAATTTTATTGTTTTAACTTTATAGTTCTTGTACATTTTTTCATATTTATTGTTAAGTATTGCATATATACTTAATAATAATTGTACTATTATTGGTATTTTGATGAAATTTCTGATTTTCTTATTGCTAGTATAAAGAAATATAAATGATTTTATATGCTGACCTTTTTCTTTCAGCATTGCTAAACTCACTTAATAGCTCCAGTAACTATTTTGTAGATTCCATTGAATTTTCTGACTAGATGATTAAATCATTTGCATTTATATTCTTGAGGGATATTGTTTCATACTTTTCTTTTCTTGCAAGGTCTATATCTGGTTTTAGTTTCAGAATAATGCTAGCCTGATGGAAGTTTAGAAGGAGTCACTCTTCTTTATTTTTCTGGAAGAACTGTATAAAATTGGTATTATTTTCTTCTTAAATGTTTAGAAGATTTCCCAAGCCATCTATCTAGGCTTGGTGGGGTGGTGATGGGGTTTTGTTGTTGTTGTTTTTTAATGGATAGATTTTAATTAGAAAAACAATTTCTCGAATAGTTTATATAATTATTTTTCAGTAAGGTCTGGTTTTCTGTATATCTCAAAAATTTTTTCACTTTATGTTTTTAAATATATTTTTAAAATATGTTTTTATTGAGAGAGGGAGAGTTATAGAAACATCAGCGTGAGAAACATTGATTGGCTGCCTCCTGCACGCCCCCTACTGGGGATCAAGGCCACAACCCAGGCATGTGTCCTGGCTGGGAATCGAACCAGGACTTCTCAGTCCATGGGATGATGCTCAGTCCACTGAGTAACACTGGCCGGGTTTCACTTTAAGTTGTCAATGTATTGGCAGATTTCTTCACTATAACCTTTTTTAAAAAATACATGTTTTTATTTATTTTTTTCGAGAGAGAGAGGGAGAGAGAGAAAGAAGCATTGATGTGAGAGAGAAACATCGATTGGCTGCCTCCTGCATGCCCCTTCTGGGGATCAAACCCACAACCCCAGGCATGTGTCCTGACATTGAACAGGACCCCCCAGTCCATGGAAGGACACTCAGTACACTGAGCCACACCAACTGGTCTATAACTCTTTTTTTTTTATTCTTGTAATATCTGTAGAATATAGTTATATCTCTCTTTTATTCCTGATATTTATAAGATTGGCTAGAGTATTATTAATTTTATTGAATTTCTCAAAGATCAACTTTTGATTTTTCTTTAATCTTTTCTTTGTGTGTCCTGATTCATTGGCTTTCACACTGATCATTATTTCCATTTGTCTGCTTACTCAGGGTCTCATCTGTACTTCTTCTAGTCCCATAATGAGTATAAGCTGGGTTTTTTAATTTGTGACCTTTCTTATTTTCCAATATAGATGTTTGGTGTGGTTTCCTTTATATTAACTTGGAACTTTTTCTAATATTCACATTTCCTTAAATTAGGGCCCAGATGTGATCTATCCTGGTAAATGTTTCAAGTGCACATCAATGAAGAATATTGATGTGCTATTGTTTTTAGAATCTTCTCTAAATGTTATTTAGATCATGTTGGCTGATAATTTTTCTAGTTTCCTTTTTTGCTGTTTTTGTTTCTACCCATTCAATTAATTATTGTCAGATGGGTGTTGATCTCCAACATTAACTCCAGATTTGTCTATTTCTTCTTAAAAATCTGTTTTGTTTTATGTACTTTGAACCTCTGTTATTATGTACATAAGTATTTATAATTGTTATGTCCTGTTGTTTAACTGATCTTTTTGTCATTAGAAAATGACCCTTGTTTTTCTAAGTAATATCCTTTGCTCTGTAATGTACTCTGTCTAATATTAATATAGCCGCTGTAGATTTCATGTGATCCATTTTACCTAGAATCATATTTTTCTATATTTATACTTTAAAGTATATGAGGTTAAAAAATCTTATTTTTCTTTATAAAGTTGGTTCATCTGAACAGCCTGTAGTTGGGTCTTGCTTTTTTTTTTTTAAATCCAATCTGACTTTCAATTGGGTATTTAGACCACATATATAGGGGTGGGAAAAAGTAGGGTTACAATGCTTGTATGGAAAATAATACAATAGTTACTAAATAATAATGCAAGCCTGGCCAGTATGGCTCACTGGTTGAGCGTCAACCCATGCACCAAGAGGTCATCGGTTCAATTCCCAGTCAGGGCACATGCCCAGGTTGTGGGCCTGATCCTCAGTGGGGGGGCATGCGGGAGGTGGCTAATCAATGTTCTTTCTCATTGATGTTTCTATCTCTCTCTCCCTCTCCCTTCTTCTCTCTTTTAAAAAAAAAAATCAATAAAGAAAAAAATAATAATAATGCAAGAAAAACTTTCACATACAACTGTAAACCTATTTTTGCCCACCTCTGCATTTAATATGCTTACTGATATCTTAAGATTTAAATGTATCATATTGTTATCTGTTTTGTATTTGTCCTGTTGCTACTTTTCACCTTTCTTTCAATCTTCAAAAGATTAAGTATATGCTAGGATTTTATTTTATCTCCTTTGTTGGCTGAACTATAATATTTTATCTTAGTAGGTGCTCTAGGGTTTATTTCATTGATACAATGCCTCCTCATGTATAGCACATGCCTAACTAACTTGCTAACTAGAAGTATGAAAAATGTGAAAACTATCTTCCCATGGATTCTTCTAAATAAATAACATATAAAAATATTTTTGTTTAAATGGCTCTATCACAAAAATTTTGAATTAATGTTTATTTTCTTATTTAGCTTCTAGAAGTCTCTAACAGTAGATAAATAGTATGAAAATTATACATGAATTAAAAAAACAAAACAGTCATGAGAATATATTTGTAAGTAAAATTTTTTCTTTAATGTTTGCTGCTTTATGATTTTGAAATAAATGTGACTGATTGTTGCCTATCCAATAGCTACCAAAGTGCTATTGCATAAGGGCAGGAATATGTCCAACTAAAAATACTACATTTCATAAACTGTCTTTAAGGCAGAGATAAGCCAGAAAATTCTTCTAAAGTACTTGTGATAGTCTCTTTTCAAATAAGCTCCTTAAAAGGAAGTAGGTTTTAGTTAGCACAAGCCCTCTCTGACCCTCTGGGCTTTCCCTTTTGTCCGATCTAAAATGAAGATAAAAAGGCTAAAATTGGACCCTCATCCTGTCACCCTGGAAAGAAAGCCCAGAGACTCATGGAGACCTGTGCCTGGCATTTTAAAATGGCCACATCACCATCAGCAGTGAACATCTGCTCCAGATTCACAGCAAGCAAGGAAAAGAAAGCCTTAATTAGATTAAGTGGCTGGCACTTTAGTTTGCCATCTATGCAGTCGAATTCAAATTCTAAACGGTATTTCAAGGTAAGCTTTTAGTGGCAAGACAGAGAGCATAATTCATGTATATGTCTGATTAATAACTTCTACATTAACAGTGAAAATAAAAACCACTTCCCAGAAATTCCCTCTCCCAAAACCAGAAGGAGGACTTGAATATGGGAAAAGAGAGAAATGATTTTGAATATTTAAACTTGAGAACTTTAGTGGGTGGTAGTGACATTACAAAACAGGAAATATTTTTTGAATTTTAAATTTATATCATAAAATGCAAATTTTAAATATTGAATATTTATGCCTTGGCCTGTTTGGGTTAGCAGTTAGATCGTTGGCCCTCAGACCAAAGAGTCTTGGGTTTGATTCCCAGTCAAGGGCATGTCCCTGGGTTGCAGTTTTGATCCCCAGCCCTGGTTAGGGCCATGTGGAGGCAGCCAATCAATATATCTTTCTCACATTGATGTTTCTCTCTCTCTCTCTCCCTTCTTCCCTTCCACTCTACCTAAGAATCAATGGAAAAAAATCATTGGGTGAGGATTAACAAACAAATATATATATTGAATTTTTAAATTCAATGTAAACAACTATAGCTTTTCTGTTGAAATTATTATTTGTATTTTATGGTATTTTCTGGTGTGAAAGTTTTGTTTTCATTTTTAGTAGTTGTCAGTGTTTTTTAAATTAGTGTAGCTAATTTTTTTTCCTCATTGAAACACCTACAGAATTTCCCACAAATATTTGATAATGTTACTTGAAATTTTACGATATTATTATTTTTTTTGGCAAGAGTATGGAGAAATACCCATTATCTTGACCACCCAGTGAAGCTGATCTATCTCTCTGGATTTTCTTTTCAGTGACAGTCTATTAACTGAGCAGATGCTAAGCTTCCATATTGAACATACTGCTTTCAGCCAGCTTTAGCTAGCCAGCAGCTGTGTAAAACATGTGATTTACTGTCTCACTCTCTCAGAATTATTCTGCAAAGATTTCTCAATGCACAGCAAATAAAATCCAGAGTTTCCTAAGTGTCAGGCCTTGCTGCCCTTCCAAATCCATGTCCTGTTATGTTCTCCCTCACTCTGTGAGACCCACCATCTCTGTCCTGTTTTCACTCTTGCGAGAACACGACATTCTTCTCACCTTAAGGTCTTCCTTGTATTGTTGCTCTCTGGGTTGTGCTTCCCCTCATTCTATCTGACCAAGGCTTGTTTACCCTCAAATTCTCAGTATGAATGCCCTGTTCTCAGAAGAGGCTTTCTCTCGTGACATTCATTAGCATTTTATCCTCCCCTCACCTCCAGTATTCTCATCGACAGCAAATTTTAATATTTTCATCCATACCATTAATTGCAATTTGTAGTTGTCTATTCTTTGGCACTGTTTTGCTGTAGCTGTGTTTTTTGGGGTTATCTAGTTTGGAAAGTCTAACACCTCAGGATGAAATGCTCATAGGTATTACTCATATAATTATTATTATTTGCAAGTGTTTGCCTAGTTTAATAACACTGGTCTATAACAGTATGTTCTAGCATTTTCAGTCTTCTCTATATGAATTTGCTCATGGTTAGACTGGGGTTGTGGCTGTTGAGGAGGAATACCGTGAAGGAGAAATGCCCTTGTTATTGCATGTTGTCTGTAGATAAATGACATCAACATACATTTTCATCAATGATATTAACCTTTGATACTTTCACATCCACAAATATTTGGAGGATTTTAAAATCTTGAGAAAGAATCCTAAACTAATCTGACCAATTTAAACTAGAAATTTAGCTTCACTCGAGCAATAACAGTAAACTAAATGTCTTGAGCTTTGCATTATATAGCTCCATCCATACAGCCTACCCAGAGAATGGCACAAACACACCAGCATACACAGTTCTGTGATTAGCAGTTCATGTGGATTACCCATGTTTTCTTACCTTCTGCACAATATCCCATACATCCCTGAGTGGGCTGTAGTAAGTACACAAAAAATTGTCCACAGTTTCTTACAAACACCGGAATTTGAAAAAGACAGCAGTCTTTCGTGGTGCTCAGCAAAAACTGCCACGTGGCACAAGCTGTCAGTTGCTTGATCTCCCCAGGTGCAGGCAGTGTTTCTGACTCTCTCAGAGACAGCCAGATGGGAGCTTGTGTTCCACAGTGGTTCATCTTTCGCATCAGAGAAGACAAATGATGAAAGTCTAATTTATTTTCATACATGGTAGATAAAGCAATTTTGCATTTTCTTCTAAACAGTCTTTAAAACATTCAATTATCAATCTATTGTTTATTGTTTTAAATCTTCAGCCAAGGATATTTTTCCATTTATCTTCAGATAACGTGGGAGGGGGAGAGAGAGAGAGAGAAATAAAGAAACATCACTCTGAGAGAGACACATCAATTGGTTGCCTCCCACATGACCCAGACCAGGACCAGAGACCGAACCATAATCGAGGTTCGTGCCCTTGACTGGAATGAACCTGCCACTCTTTGGTCTGAGCCAATACTCTAACCGCTGAGCGAAACCTGCCAGTGCTATCAATCTAATTTTTAAAATTTTGTTTAAATATCTAATAGCTTGGTCCGGCCAGTGTTGCTCAGTGGTTAAGCATCAACCCAAGCAGCATGAGGTTGCCAGTTTGATTCCAGGTCAGAACACATGCCCAAGTTGTGGGCCTGATCCCTAGTGGGGGGCGTGCAAGAGGCAGCCTATCGATGTTTTAAAAAAAAGTCAGGGGAGAAGGAAAGGATTGTTCAAAATCTGGAGAAAACAATTGGTTGGAAATTTGGAAAAAATGAAGTTAAAGTCTCACTTGAAGCCAATTTTCAAAATCCGTTTCAGATGGAAAGTAGAATTAAATAGAAAATTAACCCAGGAAAAATGAGAGACTTTATGATTTGGAAAGAACAGAGGCATTTACTAAATGCAGGACCTAGAGCACTTAACATCCTTTGCTTTTGTATTAGGTGAATTGTAATACCCCACTTCACAGTGCTGTGAAGTATAAATAAAATAATGTATATGGCCCTGGCCGATTTGCCTCAGCAGTTAGAGTGTCAGCTCTGCGGTCCAGAGAGACCCAGGTTCGGTTCCCACTAAGGGCATGTACCTCGGTTGCAGTTTGTTCCTGGCCCTGGTTGGGTCATGCAGGTGGCAACCACTCGATGTGTCCCTTTCATGTCAATGTTTCTCTCTCTCTCTCTCTCCCTCCCACTCTATCTGAACAAAAAATGGAAAAATGTCCTCGGGTGAGGATAAAAAATAAATAAAATAAAATAATGTATATGGCACACTTCTACATAGAAATGACTCAATAATTGTTAGTCAGAATGTAATTCTTAATATTATTATTTCCATGCTTAAGAGCAAAGGAAAAGATCAATCATTAGATTAAATAATTTAAAAATTATAAGACAAATACGAGTTAAATAAGGAGAAAATTACTTCCTAATAACATTATATGTAGTATATATTATATTATTTATTTATTTATATATTATTATTTATTGTCACATTATTTTATTTCTTATTTTATTTTAACCATGTAATATCCATTAAAAAGTTCTAAGATCACAAATGGGCAAAATACGATTACTATCTTTATTCCATAACATAATAAAGGATATGGGAATACTCCAGATTAATTCAATCTTGATACAAAATTAAAATAATAAGTCAGCATGGAAAATAAACTGGTTGTAATAAGATTCAATCCTCCCATGAAAAAAATACATAAGAAAAAGAGCATATAGTTCATAGTGAGTTAAAATACCTCGACACATTTTGTAGGCATCTCAGCAGGTCTGTCGAAGATGAGAAATCGATACCATCCAGCAGCAAGGGAATGGTCACATATCAGGTCTTGAGTGGCTGACTGCTGGAGGTGCAGTGAGTCAAAATGGACACTTCTGTGAGGGTTCTGAAGTACCCGGTGCCCCCCGGGAGAGCACTCCTGAGCTAGGATGGAAAGATAGGTGTCTTTATGGAAGTGTGTTCTTTGTTAAAATAGTTCAGTACTCAATGAAAATTGATTCCCAAAACAAAAATAAATCAAATCAACCTATAACTGTACATAAAGCCCGTCTGAAACGCCAGGGTCTTTTAATAGTTAAAGATGACTTACCTTGAATTTTTCATAAATACAATAAACCAATCAACAAACTCTTTAGACTGCCTTTTTAAAATGTACTTAAATTCAAGAACTTTATGTAATTTGAGCAAGCGATACGTTTTATAAAATTTATTTTTTAGTTACAGTTGACATACTATATATTAGTTTCAGGTGTAGGACATAGCAGTTTGGCATTTATATACTTTATAAACTGATAAGTTCGACATACAATACTGCTGATGGATGTTGCATTAGGATTTATTTATTTCTACCCATTGAAATTCCAGGCCCTACAAAGATTCTTCTTGAGAATGATCCTCTAGGTTTGAATGCCATCACTGAGCTCCATGGCCTGCTTTCCTCTGCAGTAGCCACGTGCCCCCCAAACCCCGTTTCTGCCAGGTCACAGAAAACAATAAATTAAACCAATCTTTTGATGCCAATCTAATTTTTGTACAGTGCCCTCCTACGGATGTTTCCTGCATTCTTTAGTGCAGGAAAGAATATAAAGATTTTAAAGTTTTTAAAGATAAACTGTTGGAGTCCATTTTTATTACTAAGCACAGGAAAAGGAATGGGGTGAAGGGGAACAGTTTTGAATGAGAAGAAAATACCAAGGAGAAAGGGAAATTTCTGTAGTTGTTTTAGGGAAGCCATTTTGAGCAGCTGTTGGCCTGGAAGATACTTTTTCTCTCAAATCTACAAAGGCCAAACATAAAGCTCCTCTTCCCAGCATAGAGGATGCAGCGAAAACAGTATTACTTTAGAAATACAGCTCTTCTTTGCTCCTGATTCCCAAATAATAAGAAACACAAGGAACCACCGTTATTTGCGTGCTAGAATACCTTGTTGACATGGTAGGTAGAAAATCTCCAAATATTGGATATATTTTTTTAAGGAAAACACTATAATAAAGACAATATCTATGAAATAGAAATGTGACATTAAAATATCAGTCATTACTAAAGTACTTCACTGTGAAATACATTAATCTGAATAAAACTCTCAAATATTTAATATATAATTTTAGGTTACAGAATCATTAATAAACCAAAATCAGTTTCTGAACTTAATAAGGAGCACAGAAAATTTGAGATATTAATTTGCAAATAAATATCACAAGTGGAGCATATCAAAATTATTATCATTTTCTTGCTTTTTAGTTATAACAATTAAATTGTACAAAAGGTATTGTTTTGCAAGATAAAAGCTCTCCCAAAATAATATTTTTAGTAAAAAATTTTAGAAATGAGCACAAAAGGCCCCTCTTCTTTTTGTCTCTTGTTCCACCAGCTTTAAATTTCACAAGAAGAATTTGATCTAAAAGGCTCTCGTGACTTTGACAATCTCAAGCTGTCAACGTACATAAATATTTTATAAAATGAGTATGAATAGGGGATGTACAGTCATTTCATTTAATTTTGAAATAACTCTAAAATCTTGTCAATACCAGAATATTTCACCTGGTTAGAAACTAAGGACAATATTTTAAAAAGAGATTACTAGTGAAGTTTACATGAATTATTGAAATGTTTTCTCTGATCTCCTTGCAACAGAATTTTTGTCTTGGGAAAAAAGTCAATACCTTTTTGTTTATTTTGTGCAGTATTTCTCCTTTCTAAGTGCCTCTGTAGTTCCCACATGTCCTCTAAATTTGCTGCTTTGAAGAAATATTTTCTTTGATGACATTGTATGTTTTCCTTTTATTGAATTTCTTGTGGTGACAGTTGTTAACAAAATTATACAGGTTTCAGGTGCACAATTCTACAACACATCATCTGTACATTGTATTGTGTCTTCATTGATCCAATTCAAGTCTCTGTTCATCATCATTTATCCCCCCATAGCCTCCTCTACCTTTCCCCAACTCCCCCAAGCAACCACCACACTGTTGTCTGTGTCCATGAGTTTCTCTCTCTCTCTCTCTCTCTCTCTCTCTCTCTCTCTCTCTCTCTCTCTCTCTCTGCTCAATCTCTTCACCAGGTCCATCTCCCTATATAAGTTGAAGTAGGCATGGGATTCCTAGCATATGCTTGTTTTTTTAGACAAGAAAATCAAGATGCTCAAAAGTTTGGTGTGTTTGGAGCTATCACTGTGCATCAACATACTGGCATATTGTGTGTCTGTAATAATTTGTGTCCAGAGATTTTACTGGGTTTTAAATGGTCCATTTATCTAGAGTACTTGCTTTTTTTCAAAATATTGTTTGTCTGGCACAACTGTGCATTTGAAGGAGCAAATCTACCTAACATACATATTAATATGTATAGACTAGTACATTTGTTTGGGTGCATTTTGGTGTTGGCCATACAATTGAATTTACCACCACTTCCCACTTCTTAAAAAGTTTCGATCATGGTCTGTTCTAGCTGCTAACGTGACCCGAGGCAAACATGGTATCGGGTCTTGCTGGGATGCAGTTTCTCAGTGCTCCAGAGTGATCTCTGACACAGATGTTTAGGCCATGAGAAGCATCCCAGCCACACGAGATGGGGAGTCCATCACTATTTGTCATAACTATACCCTATTTGCCACAATTCTGAATCACACAGTCAGTATTCCAATAAGGGAAGATGACTGTTAATTCTGCCCTTGAGAGCCTCACATTCTAGACTCTTACCCTCTCATTGCACCTCTACCCAAGACTGAAGGATTCTAGACAACTGTCATTCCAATAGCTCCCTCCTCCTCCCTTTGCATCTACAAATAGTGAGGGCTTGTATGAGGCACCAGCCTTAGAGGATTTGGGCTGTCACTCCAGGATTTCCCATCCAAAGGCTGACATGAAAGCAACATTTACCCTCTCCGAAATGTAGGAATAACAACAACAATAATAATACCTAGCCAACAAGCAAGATGTTATAAATATTGTTAATCTCAAGTTCAATTCAATTAGTCACAATCCACAGCTCCCCAGACCCTTGGTGCTGGGAAGACAAGCCCAGCACAGGGATTGCACAGGCGCCAGAGGAGTGGTTTTAGGACGACGTCGGATCTGCTCCTGGCTTCAGAGCACCACCTGGGGTGCCATGGAATGTCGACGGAAGGTTGGCGCCAGTTTAAACGCCAGCAGGAATCCCCAGTTTGGGGTGTGGTGAAGAAGGAAAGTTTGTTTAGTGCAAACCCCCCAACAGTAATACAGCATGGCTGTGGAAACTGGATGGTGCTACACCGGGGCTGCTGTGGAAACGGCAGGCAGTGAGGCTACCCCAGGACGACCCCTCTCCAGCCGGGTGGCTCGGCTCGGCTCTGCCCCGCCAGGCATCGGTCGGCCCGCCCACCCCGCCCGGTACGGTGCCCGGCGCTCTGTCCCGCTGCGAGATCGCCGGCTCCGGGCTGATCTGCGGGGATCTGCGGGGATCTGCGGGGACCTGCGGGGACCTGCTCCAGCCAGCCGTCTTTGGTGTTTCAGCTCCAGCCCGGGAAACGCAGTTTCAGCCTTTGGCCTTCGTCTTCAGTGGAAAGTCTATTTCATTGTATTTTAAACTTTTCTTTGTCGTGGATAAAGAAGTGGGAGGGGTGCTATTCCCCCAGTAGAGATCTCTTTTACAGTAATAAAAACGGATTCTAACAGACATACAAAAATACCACAAAATTTAAGCTGATTTATTGTAGGACTAAAATGTTAATCCATTAATTATTTCCTCTGAGGAGTGCGGTGGAAATCCCGTAGTTTGAATGTTACTCTTCATATAATTCGTATCCAATTGCAGCTAGGATACCTCACATATTCAGGAAAAGTTTCTTACGTTAAATTAAAGGAGTCTTGAGCAGGATATCAGCAGGAAACAATAGAACAAAATCAGAACCGAGGATCTTAAAGTAGAAGAGGAGGCAACCTACTGCGCAATAAGGAAAACTGAAGAACAGCAAGGCTGTAAAGTGACCAAAGACGCAGGTGGACAGAGCAGAAGTCGGTGAGGGACAAATATGAGAAACGGCCATAAATATGCACAGGATGCCCCACATGTCACCCTGGAAGCCCCTTCTCCCAAAGGTCCAGGCGTCACCCCTGCACTCCCATCCCCAGCGCCCTACCTCGCCGACCATTCCCTGGGTCCAGGAGCATCAGTGCCAGCGCCAGCGCCCAAACTCCTCCAGGCATCGCTGCTGCCACGGGTAGGGGCGAATGCGTCGAGAGCCCCGGCTGTGGGTGCAGGGAGGATGGGGCCACCACAGCCACTAAGCCCTCCTATCACAGCACTTTCTCAGTCTGTTCCTGCTCGGCCTTCGGCGTAGCTGATTGTCCTTGCACTGGAACCTTTCCAGGGACGACGCCAGGAGCCTGGTGTCTCTTCCCTCCCAGCCCCGGCTTGCCAGCTAAGAAGCCACGCCCAACTTGCCCCAGGAGACAGGTACGCCCACGAGTTCCCGCTTTGGGACCTTAGGTGTCAGCAGCACTCGCACATCCAGGGGACACGCTCCCAGGATATAGACTGGCACTTGGTTTCTGGCTGTTTGAACCAATGCTTCAGGGAAACGTGGTAATCCTAGAAACTATTCAGATGGCCCTCCAATGAAAGAAGTCACAAAATTCTGTTGAAAGGGGCAGTGCCCCATCAGACCTGCAGATTAATTTTTAATCTGGTAATCGGGTTGCTTGCTTGCTCCCCAAAGGCGAACATGCCTCTCAGAAGTTGCTCCTCCCACCTCAGGCCCCAGAGACGAAGGATAAAAATATTGCAATAGTAGCTGTTCTCTTCCTCTACTTCTGTGACAGGTTTTCAAAAGGGAAGGGAGGTTATTTAGACATTTTCCAAACTCATAGAGTCAGTCATTGTGTATTTGTTGACTAATGATCCTCAGAGCTCTCTCAGTGGTCCAGTGGTGACCCAGTGACTCAGGA